ATTTACACTTTCACTATAATAAAGAATGGGAATATTTAGTTTTGTAGCAAGATCACTATTTCCACAAGTTCGAGTTGTCGGGACTGATGATAAAAAGTTTAACATGACGTGTTTGTGAAACACTGATGCCCCCGTATGACAACTCATACATAGCGAAGATTAAAATTTCTCAATGTTGCAAATCACACTCGAAGGTCAAGGTCAAAAGATCAAACGTATTGTTACCCAAAGAAAGGACTTGTATCAAATAACATTACCTGCGATTGAAATATAAAAGCCCAAGAACCAACTCTTCAAAAGTTATGGCAAATTAAATATTTTTTAAAGTGGGTCAAACTCCAAGATCAAAATCAATGATACAAAAGGAAGGACTTCTCACAAGAATTATTCATGTAAAATATGAAAGCTTTATCTCCAACTGCTCAAAAGTTATAAATAGCCAAATTAATTTTTTTGTTGTTGAAAATATGACAAACTCCAAGGTCAAGGTCAAATTTATTGGTATTCAAAGAAAAGTGTTGTCAGAAGGAAACCCCTAGCGGTGAAATATGAAAACGCTATCTTTAATTATTCAGTGGTTAAGGCCAGGTTTAAAATTTTTGAAAAGTGCAACATTTGGGTCAAACACTAAGCTCAAGGTAAAAAGGTCAATTTATATATTCGAAAACATCTGTGAAATTAGTCCGAAATATCTGACGTTTCCAGGCTTTTTGTTTTTGTTTATGAATTTGATATTTAATGTGCCTGGCACGTAAAATATCAAAATCGTGAAAAAGGCTGGAAATCGTCAGATATTTCGGACTACTGTGAAATAAGAAAGTGCCAACCTTCAAAAATTATAGGAAGGATAAGATTTGATTTCTCTTTTTGACAAGCTCGGGCTTTCAAAGGTGCTTGGATACAGATTTGAAGTTAATATTTTCTCAAATTTTCTGTATAATTTCATGACTTATATGTTGCTATAGCATTGCATATCAAACTATAAAAAATAGGGCTGGGTATTGGCCCCAGATTTCGTATTGCGATATATTGCGATATTTTAAACTGTATTGCGATATGTATTGCAATATTTTCAATTGATAAAAATAGCATTTTCTTACTATATTTACTTTAATTTACATGCAGAATGTACATAACTTTAATAAGTAACCAAAACGAAAAAAAAAATCTTGTTGATTTCACTTAAGTTATGCTCTGAAATGTTACCACAAAACAACTTCTGACTTACTGTTTGGCTTAATAACAAACTTTCATTAGTCCATTTTTACAATTAATGACAAAATTCCTTAATCCATTAATATTGCCAATATATCGATATTACAAAATCGTATTGCGATACGATATTTTTTGTCATTGTATTGCAATATATTGAAATATCGATATTATTGCCCAGCCCTAATAAAAAAGATCTTATTTTATCTCGAAGTTATTAAAACTTCGATTTTCTGGGCGCGTTTGATTGTCACATCCTTGCACTTTCACAAATTTATTTTTATCCTTAAATACTGAAGAAAAGTAGAAATTTTGTTTTGTATTAATGAAAAATATTAAAGCTATAATCCAAAAAATTCAAAGAAGAAGTGGGAAAACTGACAGAAATCGTGCAGAGTGTAACAATTAAACACATCCTGTAAATCGTAAACATTAACAATAAGAGAACTCGTGCCCTGTTTACAAACACGGGTGTATTCAATTTGTTAAACTCTGTACACAGTTCTGAGCACGGGCTGACGATACTAGTGAGTGGGTTTTGATTTCGAACATTTCTACTCTGATTTTTCTGGATATTATAGATGTAATATTTTTCATTAATACACAACAACATTGCTACTTTTCTTAAATATTAAGGATAAAATTAAAATTTGTGAAAGAGCAAGGATGTAATAATCAAAGGCTTCCAGAAATTCCTGGTCCCAATAATTTCCAGATGAAATAAGTGGGTTCTTTTTATAATTCTATTAATAAATCTATTAATTGCAATACATGTCGTGATACTATATAGAAAATTTGAGAAAATATCAAGTTCAAATCTGTGCCCAAGCACCTTAATTTAAAAGACTTTACTCTTGACCTTGCCTTTTAAACAGTAAAGGCCAGAGCTTTCATATTTCACATGTGATAAAAGCATCCCTCAATTTAAACCAACTGACCTTGACCTAAGATCAATTTTGATCTACTTGTGACGAATATCAATATTGGCCATTATTTTTGAATGGTTAGTGCAGAGCTTTTATTTCACAGGTCCATTCCTTGTGACAAGACTTTGCCTTTGAATATATCGGCAATTTCGAACCCCTGACTTTCGAGGTGGACCTACTTTTGAAAAATAAACTATAAAAGACATAGCACTGAACCTTGGTAATATTTTTGAACGGTTGGAGCTAAGGCTTTCTATTTTTTCTGATAAAATCATACTTTGTAACATTATTTTTTATGCCCCCGTAATCGAAGATTCGGGGCTGTACAGTTTTTGCCTTGTCTGTCTGTCTGTTAATTTGTTTGTCCACAAATACTTTAACCTCGGCCATAACTTTTGAGTGGGTGGTTTTCATATTTCACAGGTGTATTCCTTGTACCAAGACCTTTCTTTGGGTACCACCAAATTTGACCTCTTGACCTTGACCTAGGTATATCGGTCGTAAAGACAAATTAAAGTAATGCTTGGTATCGAGGCAATTTTGTCATCAATACAATTTACTTCTCGTGTGCAAGACTATTGGGTGCAAAAAATTTAACCCAGATACATGTACAATGTATCTGTAATCAATACTGAGAAATTAAAATCATTTAAAGAATTCTGTAGACTTACTCGAGTCTCAATGTTTATTTAAGCTTTTTTCTTATTTTTTCGTTTCACATGTGTAAATATTCGTTCCGACTGATACAAAAAAAGAGATCGAAATTAAGCTTCTCTCTTTTTAAGGTTCATCGATACTCTGATAAGAGAGATAATTGTTAATGACATATAGTATAAATGACTAGTATTAAAAATCCTTTATAAATTTGTCAAGTTGAAGTATATATCGTTTTTGTTCAATTTTGCCCTGCACGCTATGCCATTATTCTTTCTATTTTACTAAACAAATACATTTCTTTTGGAAAATCATGAGAATTATAAGGACACATTTTATATGAATGAGCCCTCGGAAGGGTTTAATAAATGAACCTTAAGTTTGAAATTGTACATTATGGATAACCTTTGACAATGTGTAAAGCATGACAGAATGCAGACTCGGTGAATAAGAAAAAATGATTTAAGTGTGTCACACCAAGATTTAAACAAGGGTGCCACAAATGGAGCATCCCAGGGCAAAGAGCATATAATTTATTAAGACAGCATTCAGCATCTCGATCCCAATGCAAATTAAGTTACTTCCGTTCCGCAGAGGACATATAACCCACAAACAAATACTACAAATGTAGTAGTGTAAGATACACGGCATTCTGCTAGCTTGGGCTAGTCGGTTAACCCTTTAGCTCCATTGGTAGAGCACTGGACTAGCAAGCCACAGCCTCGGGTTCAATCCCCAGCAGTCTCTGTTACACTAGGCGCCCATGTTGCATTGGGACCCGGGTGTTCTCTGGCGGGTGAGAGTGACTGTCCCCAGAACTTCGCCCCAAAGGCGTCGGCACTAGGGCTGTATCAATATATCGATATATCGATACGTATCGATATTCAAGAAAAATATCGTATCGAAAAATAACTTCCAATACGTATCGGACAAATAGTTTTTCTTCTAATTCTGTTAAAAAGATGGGAATTTCAATCACCAAAGATTATATTTCACCTTTTTGAAATAAAACTGTTCAATGATAATATAATTTGTAAGGAAATGACACAGTTTTTATAACTGTTACAAAATACAAAGACAATTGAATTTGAACATGTTGATTTTAATGTCATAAAAAGTTTTCATTTGAAGTGTTATTTGTAATGTCAATGAGACAAGAACTTTAAATGGGTAATAAAACACTTAGTTGTTATGAAAATTATGCATTAAAATGATTTATAAGCCTTTTTCGATGGACTTGTTTTAGAATCCAATATATCGCATATCGCTTTAAGAAATATTGTATCGTATCGTATCGAAATTTTTGGCTCAATACACAGCCCTAGTCGGCACAACCGAAAGGGTTGAGGACACCTCATTTTCTGGAGGGGGACACGAGTAGTTAACTTAGTGTAAAATACACCGTATTCTATACTTGCTTGGGGATTAAGCATTTAGCTCAGTCGGTAGAGCACTGGAATGGCAAGCCAGAGCCTCGGGTTCCATCCCCAATAGATGCACACAATTGTCTCTGTTACACAGAGACATGATTGCATTTCTCTATTCCCTCCAAATCTGTTGCTAGGGTATAAATTAAAGGAAAGGAGAGTGGCGGGGTTCCATATCCAAAGTGCATTTACTGCGTTTGGCATAATCAAAGTGTATTCAATAAAGCACTGAAAATTAAACTCCGAGATGTTTTAATAAAAGATATTAGTGAATATATATACATGAACTTTAAAAATATAGGCTGAAATCACTTCATTTGAGCGTTCAGATTTTAAGACTGTTTACAAGTCAATTAAGTGAGTTCTTCATACTTGTGATACTTGTGATGCCTTATATATATAAAATCTGGGCCCAAATTGAAATATTTTGTACAACTTACTTACATGCTGGGATATGTGCATTACAATTTATGCTCTGCTTTTTTTTTTAAATTTCAGTCTTTTTTTGTAATTGCTAGTACACGTACAATGGTTCATCTAAATTATGCTTCTTTTTACCTCTGTAGGCCTATATATTTTACTAACTTTTATCTTTGTGTAAACATGTTAAAGTCGGTTAAAGAGCTATCACAGCTAAATTAATCTGTTATACTGTATAAACATGCCGACTATAAATAAAATTTTACTTGACTTACTTATAAAATTATCATACCGTGTCAAATAGTATGGGACTAAAGTTGGTACCCATAGTCCCTTTGGGCACGAATCCACTGTATACCGTTTTTGGTATTTAAATTCAAGCGCCTGTTTGATTGAGAATTGCAACATCATGGCGTCTGGATCTAGTGGTCCTCAAAATGTGACAGAGGCACCGGAGGAAGATGCCGCAGAATTACAGTTTCCTAAGGGTAATGAATGTGACCGAATTAAGATTTATTAGTACGGAAAATTTTACAGAATATCTTGATTAGTAACTCAATCTGGAGACGGGAAAATCGAAGAGGTGCACATGCGATTGTTTATGGCCTACCCACAGGGACTTGCTCCCGGCGTGTAATATTTATTAAAAAATCATATTACCGTAATAATAAAACTACACAAGGGGTAGCTTTATTTAGCCCCTTCCTCGCTTCAACTTTTTTCGTTATATTTTCTTATTTTAAAACTCAGACAAAAAGGATCTTTGACTAAATGATTTATACTAAGACCTTAGGTTGAAAAAACCCCAAAGCAGAGATGGAGCCTCTTCAATACACATTTCAGACTAAAAATAATTCAAACTCGCTTGATAGGACAGTTGGTATGTGTGCAGAAAGTGAAAACACATTCGGTTACCTCTTTTTTCCATATTTAAAACAACTGCTAATTGTAAATTTGAAAAAACCGCGTTCTAATTCCGTATTCGAATGTAAAACGCTGAGGTTACTTTCGCTTTCTGTCCATACCAACTGTCCTATCGAGAGAGTTTGGATTATTTTTTCATGAATGTGTTTTCAAGAGGCTCCAAGGGGGAAATTTCAGCATAAGGTCTTAGAATAATCATTTCTTGAAAGATTTTTGGCAGTGAGTCAGTAAAATACGGCAAAATATAACGATATAAGAGGTTGATCGAGGAAGGGGTCCAAAATGGCGTCCTCCCTTGTGTAGTTTTATTATTACGGTATATGATTTTTTTAATAAAGAATTATTACACGCCGGGAGCAAGTCCCTGTGGCCTACCTGAATTTTTATCAGTCAGACGCCCAATAAGCCAAATATTGAAAAATTCTACCCCCCTCTATATACAAATTAGCTGCAGATCTGTAGCTCTCCGAAAAAAATGTATATTGATAGACCAGAGAGCTACAGTGCCACCCATTGAAAAAACTGTATATTTATTGCGCAAAAAAAAGTGCGCTCGATTCTTGATTAATTTTTCCAAATTCTTACCTCAATTGCAAAAAACGGAAGATTTCAAAAAATTACTCTCTCCTCTTTATTTACCTACCTGTCAAGTTCTCTCTTAGTTGACATCTGAACGAAGCATATTGGACCGAATTATCTTTGAAACCAAAATGGCAGTATAAATAAGCGAAATGTTCAATGATTAGCAATATCAGGGCCAGGAGGACAAAAAACAACAATAATGAGTAATGTTTTGTTGTGGAAAAAGTCAAAGAATATGTTAGGAACACACGTTTCGTAATATTTTGAGATTACAGCTTTAAAAACATGGAGAAATAAATCGAGAACCGAGCGCATTTTTTTGTGCGCAATAAATATACAGTTTTTTCAATGGGTTCTCTGATAGCTCTCCGGTCTATCAATAATTTTTTTTTTCGGAGAGCTACAGATCTGCAGCTATAATATACAAATAAGTGTATTTATATGTAGAGCGAGTAGAATTTTTCGATATTTGGCTTATTGAGCGACTCATAGATAAAAATTCAGGTGCCTGTGGTACATTCATGGACCTTTAGTGTCAAGTTTCCTAAATCTTCAAGAAAGGAGACCGCAGCCAGCCTTCAAACTACCGTCCAATCTCCCTCACTTCAATTTGCTGCAAGATTGCCGAACATATTATACATAGCTCTATTATTACACACCTGGATGACCATAATGTATTATCAGATTCACAGCATGGTTTTCGAAAACGACGTTCCACTGAAACACAACTCATCCTGACCATAAATGACCTTGCTTCTGACCTCAACATGGGAGAGCAAACCGATGCCATCCTTCTGGACACACAAGGCGTTCGATAAAGTCCCACACAGGCGCCTCCTCCATAAACTACACCATGTTGGAGTACGAGGTAAATTGTTGAACTGGATTCAGGACTTCCTCTCAGATCGCACACAGGAAGTGGTACTAGACGGCTCCTCCTCCAGTAAGTGTCCTGTCACATCAGAAGTGCCCCAGGGAACAGTCCTTGGCCCCTTACTCTTCCTGGTGTACATCAACGACATGCCAGCCTGTATCCAGTCCCAATCCCGCTTGTTCGCAGACGACTGTCTTGTCTACCGGAGGATTAAGTCCATCGACGACTGTAAAGCCCTACAGGAGGACCTACAGAAACTCCAAGAGTGGGAGAGGAGATGGCTCATGCAATTCCATCCAGAGAAGTTAGAGGTCATTACCATCTCCAATAGGCGCAATCCAGTCCAATATGGCTACACCATCCAAGGCCACACCCTGCAGCATGTTAACAACGCTAAGTACCTAGGAGTGACCATCAATAGGAAACTGTCTTGGAACACCCACATTGACAGTGTCACCAAAAAGGCGAATCAGACCTTAGCCTTTCTCAGACGAAACATCAATATGTGTAACAAGGAGACTAAGGAGCAGGCTTACAAGACCTATGTCCACCCTACCCTAGAGTACACATCTACAGTCTGGGACCCCCACACTGCTCGTAACATCAATGCGGTTGAGATGGTACAACGACGTGCTGCTAGATTTGTGACTGGAATATACCATCGCACAAGTAGCGTATCAACTATGCTGAACGCACTTTCATGGGACACTCTGAAACTCCGCAGAAAAAGAGCAAAGGTCATCATGCTCTACAGGATTCATCACTGTCTTGTTGACATCCCACCATCAGAGTACCTGATACCCACTGGCAGTTGCACCCGAGGCCATATAAAAAGTTATCATCCCACATGCCAGATTACAAGCCTATCAGTACTCCTTCTTCACAAGCAGCATCAGGCTTTGGAACACGCTTCCAGCTGCAGTGTCCCAGGTAAACTCGCTTGAAGCCTTCAAGCAGAGCCTGGCAACAGTACAGTTCCTGTAAATACCTTGTTTTTAATTGTAAATACAGCGCCCTGTGTGTCACGATTGCGCCTTTTAAACCATAGTGCGAGTATACTCGAATATCGAGGGATGCACTTACAGCAGAAGAAGATCTAATACAATCACTAGATTTAGCTTCGTGGCTTAAATCACCTACATAACTTTATTTACCTACCTGAAGTAGCTAGCTGCTTTGTTTAGCTACTTGATCAAAATAACATTTGTTAATTTGCATTTCTTAATTATCGCAAGCCAGGGGTTTTGTGTCCATTTGAATGGACACAAAACTTGTGGCTTGCAACGATGGCATTTCTCAGGATTTGCAGTAAATCGCTCTTTTATGCAGTGAATGAGTGGTATTTTTTTTTCAACTTTAATCTCATCTAAAGACAATTCATGAACAAGAAGAGGGTAGTAGGGGCCATAGGGAGTTATGGAATAAGATTTAATTTTAAAAACTAAAGCTTCTTGAGATATTGCCCGGAATAAATGTTTTGCACACACTCAGAAAGTATGAAGTTATGACCTTGACCTTTGACCAAAACATAAACAGGAGTCTTCCTTAGGCCATAGGTAGTTGGGGTATATAATATCATTGCAAAAACCCAAAGGCTTCTCCAAATTTTGAACAGAAACAAATATGTTGAAACAGATTTTTTGAATTTATGAATCAGTAAGGATCTTCCTTAGACCATGGGGATTTTTTTTTTTTGGTTGTAAAATTTTTATTAGAAAAGCTCTAGGGCTTGGAAAAGAAAGTGTTGCAGACAGACAGAACTACAGATAGACAGACTGAAATTGGAAAACCCCTCTTTCAGCGGGGACAAAAAATCACTCCTTTTCCATGCAACTGCAATCAAAGTTCTAACAGTTTTGGGGCTATAGCCTATATACAACATTTAAAACAGTTACTCCTTGGAATAAAATAATAAAGAAGACCAGTTCCAGAGTTCTTGAAATCTTTTTTCCACTTTCAGTCATTTGGACTGACTGCCATAGGAAGTTTATCGGTCCAGACAGATTTCTATCAGTCCAACAAAATAATTAAATATAATTTTAAGAAAGATTAAAACTGTATTTGAATTTCATTATCATTACATTTTGCACCCTCCGTCAATACACACTGCCTACTTCATGCGAATTTGATCATCGTATAACAAATTTGATTTAATTCTTGTGGGAGGTCGATTTTCTTCATAAGTTTTAAATTTAGTTTGATTTTCTCACCTGGCTAATACCTTATCGCTGTCAAAAACTTGTTTAAACAATTAATCAATCATAGTTTGGTACTTGCGTTCATCGAAGAAGCCATTACGAGATACTGAAAAGCGTTTTAACAAATTATGATCGGTCGGTTACAGGGAATTCGTACGAAATTTAGTCATATTTTCGCAAGTTGCTTTCTCAACATCTGCCGGTCATTTGGACTGACACAGAACGTAAAGTTATCGGTCCTTGGTTGTTTTTATTGATCTTGCCAACAGGACCGAAAGATTTCAAGAACTCTGCAGTTCTGGATCACATGATAATTGATCTGGTTCATTCAAAATATGTACCTGGTATATATAAATCCATGCATCAAGTTTTTGTTTGTGTTATGTATCCTTGAAATGATCTGCTGATGATATCTAAGGTTATTGATTCTGTGGAATATGTGCATACCTTTACCTCATCAGCATTGAAAATAGCATATTGTGCTTCCTACCAATTCCAAAAAAGTTAGACAATTTGAAATTGTTCCAAATTAAATAAAACGTACTGGTGCTTAGTAGGGCTGTATCAATATATCGATATATTGATACGTATCGATATTCAAGAATCATATCGTATCGAAAAATAACTTCCAATACGTATCGGGTAGACATTTTTCTTCTAATTCTGTGAAAAAGATGGGAATTTTAATCACTAAACAGTATATTACATTTTTAAAAATTAAAACTGACCAATAAAATATAATCATTAAGGACATAGCACAACTTATATGATTATTACAAAATACATAGATAATTTTATTATAACATGCTGATTTTTCAGTCATTAAAAGTTTTAATTTGAAGTGTTATTAAAATGTAGTAGCATTGAGGCAAGAACTTTGAAATAGATTATAAAACACTTAGTTTTTATGAAATTCATGCATTTAATGACTTTAAAAGACCTTTTTGAATTGTGAATCCAATATATCATATCGCTTTAAAAAATATTGTATCGTATTGTATCGAAATGTTTTGCTCAATACACAGCCCTAGTGCTTAGTTTGTCACAGTGACGTCAGAGGTATGTGTAAATTTTGTTTCACTGATCCATGCCTAAGTACCAAATCCATATTTTGTAATAATGATAATATGACACTGTTTCCAGAATTTGAAAATGCAGAGACTCTTTTGATATCAGAAGTACAGATGCTGTTAGAACACAGGTAAGTCACAGTCAGGAAGATTTAATAGAGGTGTTAACTATTTCATTAATGCCATATATCGATTTAAATTTTAAAAATATCAAATTGACCTTTGGAGATCATGCTTCTGGATAATGATCAGAATTTCATATATTTTTTTTAATATTGAAGGCAGAAAGTGCCATTAATAAATTTGAGGAATTTTATTGATGGAACTTAGCTCTTCTGATTGAGTCATTGAGTGGGTAAGAGAATATGTAATAGATATTTGTCAAGTAATGCAGTTTTGTATTCTTATAACGTGTACCTTTGTTTGATGCTTTGTAGAAAAACCCAGAACGAGAGCGCAGAGGAGGAACAGGAATTGTCTGAGGTGTTCATGAAAACCCTGAACTACACGAGTCGATTCTCCAAATTCAAGAACAGAGAGACCATATCAGCTATTAGGAGGTGTGATGTCAGAACCTGTTGTATTGTACAAAATCTAAACATAATTATATTAATATAAAGTTATATTTTATCAATCTGTGAACATCTAAAGACGTAAAGTTGATTTAGAAAAATGGGAATCATTAGGAATCATTAGATATGCAGATTGTCTTATTGCTCTGTTTTCTTACTGATAGTGAAGAATAAGGCTGTAGAATGAAAGCTGTTAAGTCAGGATGACCTGTATCTTTATAAATTTTCTAAAATGTTGTAATTATGTAAAAATAAAGTAGCAGTAATTAACATGTAAGCATATCTTACATGGGGGGAATAATCAAAATACATATACCAATTCAATATGGAACACAGTCTGTTTAAGAATTGTCCCCCTTTGCATAGAATAAGTAATAATCATTAGATAGATCAACCACAGACTATGACAATTTAAGAGTAGATGGTGACATATAGTTACACAGTATTTACAGCTGATTTTTATTTACAGTGTGTTGATGCAGAAGAAGTTACACAAGTTTGAGTTGGCAGCCCTGGCCAATCTCTGTCCAGACAACGCAGAGGAAGCCAAGTCATTGATCCCAAGGTCAGTGACACGCCCACTAGCTCGTGTTTATTTATAGACATGTTCACATATATCATTATCAATGTGATATTGAGACACCTTCAGTTTGATGCCAAGCAATAATACACCAGATATGTTAAATTTTGCGAGGTCAAAATTCTGCAAATTCATTTTAGGTTTAAATTCCATCAAATCATTATGCAATGTTAAATACATGTATATATCTTGCTATGATAAATCTATCATTGATACATATATGCATAATTTTATATCTACAATTTATGTTTTTTCATCTGTAATTGATATACATATAAATTTATTTAGCTTTGATATCTATCATTGATTATGGTACATCATTTACGTATAAAATACAAGCAATTCCCAGATCTTTTAATTTCCCTTAAGTATAGCAAGATTTAATGTAACACATCATTAATTTAACCTTTAACCTTTGACAGTTTGGAGGGTCGATTTGAGGATGAAGAATTACAGCAGCTACTGGAGGACATCAAGACAAAGAGAAGCTTCCAGTACTGAGATCCGCGGACCAATCGATCAAGACTGTCAGGGCCGATACTCAAAATGGACTCATTTATTACAGCAAGGCAGCTGAAATCATTAATGGTTGTGTATATAGTATCTGAAGATGTCTTAATGTTCTGTTCATAGAAAGATATGTGATTCAGTGTCCTTTTCACAACTTTCCATTCATCTTTTCATTTTGTATGCATATAATAAGACAGTGGAAAACTAGACAGATTCCTGGGCAAGGAAATGATGAACACAATTTGTTTTGAACTGACAATTTTTTAAAAAATCTTGTTTAAGCTTGATATTAGGGCAATGTTGAATTGAAGTTTTGTACTTTTTAATTGCCCCAAAAAATATCAAAGCATTGTCAAAAAAAAAATTCAATTTTCACACAAATATGAGTATTTTTAGTCATTAAAAGAATGTTGAACATTTAGTGTTCTTTTTATATATACCTATATTAAAAAAGCAGCCTTTCAGCTCAGAACTGAAAGCTCTTGCTTTTCTGATCATGTGTATGTCCATCCATCCCTCTGTACACTTTTCACATTTCTTTCTGTTCAAGAATTAAAGTTCGCACAAAGCATCCTTTGATGAAGGGGAGTTTAAATTGTCAAATGATGGACCAAGCCCCCTTATAAGGGGTGATTATCATGAAAGGATAAAATTAGGGTGTGGTCATTAAAAAATCCTCTTCTCAAAAACAACGGGTCTTCCACGGGGTGCAGTGGTTGGAGTGTCTGCTCTTGAGTCACAAGATAAGGATAATAATGCAAGTAATTTAAAGGCAGGCTTATATAACCAATTTTTATCAGAAACACCAATGTGTGAATATTGTATTGACTGTTGAAGATGCTCATCATTATTTTTTTTGCTTGTCCAAAATATCCCTCTCCGAGAAATGTACTTTTCCAAACAATCCAAAATATTTATTGTGATCAAATTTATGTACTTGAATTATTTTTGTATGGTAGTCCCAAATTCCCAATCATGGACTAGGTATTAATATTCAAATATTTGAAGCAGTACATACTTTCATCGCAGCAACCAAACGTTTTACCAGATATTTGACACTGTCATGTATGTTACCCGGTACTTATGCCAACACTTTTTAACCGGTACTACATTGTATTTTTTTTCTCTCTGTACTCTTTTTAGGTCACCAAAACCACTGAGTATTGCTATCCGCACTATTTTATGCATCTTTGTGTAGTCTACTTGTGTGCGTCGTGTGTCGTGTGTTAACATTTGAACATTTTTCAGCTTCTTCTTATATTGAAATCTGTAGAAGGAGTAGCGTTTTTAAAGAATTTCACAGAAAATTCTATTTTTAGTAACCATGGCAACACCGTTCTCAAAATTAAAAACCAATTTCTATACAGCATCTATGGGTGGTAGGTGTGCCAAGTTATATTGAACAACAATTGTGAATTTCACAGAAAATTCTATTTTTAGTAACCATGGCAACACCGTTCATCGAAATCAAAAACCGATGCACTATTCTATGTATCTTAGTGTAGTCTACTTGTGTGCCAAGTTATATTGAAATCAGACCAAAACTGTAGAAGGAGTGGGGAAAATTCTATTTTTAGTAACAAACACCGTTCATCAAAATCAAAAACCGATAAAATTATCTGCAATTATATTGAAATCTTAGAAGGAGTAAAAAATCTTCTTTTTTACCATGGCAACACCGTTCATCGGACATCAAACAGTGTGCCAAATATTGAAATGTTGGTTTTAAAGGAATTTCATGAATGTAATGATGCATTTCTATGTATCTTAGTGTAGTCTACTTGTGTGCCAAGTTATATTGAAATCCAAAATTGTGAAAATTCATGGGCAACACCAGGGTCAGGTGTAGTCTACTTGTGTGCCAAGTTATATTGAAATCAGACCAAAACTGTAGTGCGTTTTTAGGAATTTCACAGAAAATTCGGTAACCATGGCAACACCGTTCATCGAAATCAAAAACCGATGCACTATTCTAGATTATATAGTGTGCCAAAATGCATTATTTCTTTTTCACAGAAAATTCTAGTTTTAGTAACCATCTTCTTCTCTGCTCTACTTGTGTGCCAAGTTATATTAAATATAGTAACTAAGCACATAGTTAACACCGTTCATCAAAATTAAAAACCGATAAGCATAAGTGCCTCTTCCAAATTTGTGAATTTTATGGCCCCAGGAATTTCACAGAAAATCATTTTTAGTAACCATGGTAACACCGGAAATCAAAAACCGGTTCTGGTGTGTGCCAGGGCAGGGCTCATCAAGCAGGCAAACTGTTGGCATGAATGTAGATTATATAGTGAAAATGCATTATTTCTTATGAAAATGCAATCTTCTTCTCTTCTCTGCTCCTGGGTATCAAATAAACTAACACATAAGTACATAGTTATGATGAGGGCAGGGCTCTAGAGTGCCTTCCTACAAAATTGTGAATTTTATGGCGCCAGGGTCAGGGGTTCTGGTGTTAGGGCGGGGCTATATTGATTATATAGTGAAAATGCATTTATTCTTTGAAAATCTTCTTCTCTGCTTCTGTGTATTAAATAAACTAATTAAGTACATAGTTATGATAAGCAAGAGTGCCTCCTACAAAATTGTGAATTTTATGGCCCCAGGGTTAGGGGTTCTGGTGTTAGGGCAGGGCTCTATTGATTATATAGTAAAAATACATTAATTCTTTTAAAATATTTTCCTTTGCTTCTGGGTTTTATGCCAATGATCCAAGTATATATATATTTATGATGAAGAAAGGTGCATCTAGCAAACTGGTTTTTTTATGCCCCCAGGGTCAGAGGGGGAGGGGGGTTACATAGTCTGAAAATAAATTAATGCTTTGAAATCTGCTCTTTGGTATTAATCAACTATTTTATGATAAAATTTGCAAAATTTTGAAAAACATGTATGTGGCCCATGGGTCAGTGGTTCCTTTAGGGTGAGGTGCACAACTGGGTATAAAGTGGAAGTGCATTTTCTCTTTGTTACTCTGATCTACCTCTGGGTATTAAGTAATTTGAGTAAGCATGCTAAGTTAATAATTATGATAAGCAATGGTGCCTCTTTCAAAATTGTAAATTGTGAATTTCATGGCCTCTGGTTTAAATCACGAACCAAATTTAATTGTTTGAAAGTTGTTACACAATACTCAGGTGACCTATAAGGCCCGTGGGCCTCTTGTTTTTTTTCTTGTTTCTTTGTTACTATGTTTGTCTATTTAGTTTCATACCTATATATTGTGTGTTCATCTTGACCTTGTAGGGAGAGGGCTAAAGTAGGCTTTGCCTGCTGCCCGATCCGATTCACTTTATGTGAATAAAATTTTGTATAAATAAAAAAAACAAGATAAGGAATTGATCCTTACGTCGAGGGTTCAAATCCCACTGTGGGAAGTGGAACCTGGTCCTTTGGATGAGACTGTATAAACGGAGGACCTGTGTCGCAGTAGGTGCTGGCACAAAAAAGACCCCTCACTGCTCAATGGCTCTAAGTGAAGAGTAAAGAACAAAAATTTGCAGCTCTCCACTGGCAGGTGGTGGCATCTCTATATGAGTGAATATTCTTGAGAGAGACACGTTAAACATCAATCAATCAAAAACCAAGGGGCCAGAAAATCTGAAACTGTTGTGAAAGCATCCTGGGGTAGTGTAGATTTTAATTAATCAAATCATGGTACCCAGGGTTAAGGTGGAGCCACAACTTTACAATGAAATATGGAGGGAAACCTTCTCAAGACCTGGGGGTAGAAAGGGGCAACAATCGGTATTACAAGAGGGGACATCTGGAAAAGAACAGCAGGGCCAGTTACTTCGGTGAGAATTGTGGCCAATGGGACTCTTGTTTAAGCTTATCATAGGGACAACCATCCAGTCTTGAGAAGACTTAGCCAGAAATTATTATAGGTACAATGAATAAACACCCCATTGCATTTAATTTTCTCCAGCTGAAACCATTTGTAATTATTGACCAAAATTGATTCTTGGAATCATATTTTGGGATGGTTTTTTCAAAACAGAGGCAAAGATATAATAATTTATAGAAGTCTACAGATATAGACAACAAATTCTGAACACATTTTTATAAATGAACTTGTAAATTGCAAGACTGTCTGGAGTAAGGATAGTCTTCTTTAGACCCATCAAATATTATAATCTGGTTATGAGTATGACTGGCACAAGTGAATATAATTATGTAGCAGTAGGTCACTTTAAAGTTCACTGTAATAGTTCTTGATAGGCATTGTATCCTGCTGATTGATACTGTATTGCCATAGCTACAGGATCAGTTGCCTTGGTGATGCCGCGCCCAACAATGATGACATCAGCACCATGTGACTTAACAGCCTCCTCAGGAGATGTATACTGCTGTCCCAAGTTGTCTCCCTTCGCATTCAGTTGCACACCTATAAAAGAAGAGAGTTTTTAAAGAGTCTGTTAAAACAGAACGGAAGAAAGACTTTGTTAATGTAACACTTAACATTCTTATCCTTGTGATAATCTGCCTCTGAATGATAAAACTGAAAAACTTATAATTGATCTTTGATCAAATCTACATGTACGTATCTTAAAAAACAAATACCTAATCCTAAATCATATTAATTTTTCATCCTGAAAGTAAATTTAACTTCAGTCGAAAGTAGATAGTATAATGTAAGGATACAAACCTGGCATCATATGGATGAGATCAGGGTCAGAGATCAATTTTGATTGACAGATGAATCCAACCACAAAGTCCTTGTGTCTCTCCGCCATACTAACCACAGCTTTAAAAACAATTTATGTACACATGTTGTTATCGCTATGCCAATGACAGATTATGGGTGTTTTTTTACATCAAAAAACAGAATTTTTAATTATTAATTTACAAAGTCATGACCTTGATTTTATGTGGGGTCATGGTCTTGAAATCTATATTAAAATCTATCAACAAGCTTTAAATTTTTTTTTTCATGCTGATCAAAAAAAGGTTTCCAATCCAGTACTTTTACAACATGTTTAACAACCATGTTGATGTATGTACATGAATAAAAGCTGCTGTGTTTCACCATTTTTAAATCTTACCTTTTGTGTAGTCATCTTTTGCTAAGCTGCCACTAGAACTCATTTCTGCTATTAGCAAACAACCCCTGTTTAATGGTAGACCAACCTACAAGGAAGCAGTTATCTGATTAAAAGCCTTGCATGGAAAGCCATCAACATGAAAATTTGTTGATTACACTCATATTTGACAGATTTAGCTACTTCAGAAGGCATGTTGGATAATGGGACCGTTCCATCAAATCTTTATCATTTTTATCTTCTGGTATATATAAACAAAAGCAAAATTTACAAAAAAATCGTTCATTTTTATTATTTCAGAATTAAGACCCTACATAGTCAATTCAATGGACAAGGATACAGATTACGCTTCTTTAATTTTTCACTTCATCCAAATCGTGTACTGTAAAATCACATATTTCCATGGGGTCAAATTTCTGAGGTTTGAGAAATATTGGTTTGTGGGTATTTGATTTTGTCGTTAGAGAAGTGCTGATTAGTTATGCATATGATTAACTTTTACATTTTGAGGTTGTCGTGAATTAGAGAATCTCTACATACATGTACCTTGAAAACAACGAAAATTAAACCATCACAAAAATTAGAGATTTCGCGGTATTCCATGAAGACTTAAATTGAGAATGTACAGTTTTTAGTACTCACCTCCTTGAGACCCTGTATGACCCCCTCCCTGGACAGTTTATAGTACTCACCTCCTTGAGACACTGTAGGACCCCCTCCCTGGACAGTTTATAGTACTCACTTCCTTGAGACTCTGTAGGACCCTCTCCCTGGACAGTTTTTAGTACTCACCTCCTTGAGACCCTGTATGACCCCCTCCCTGGACAGTTTATAGTACTCACCTCCTTGAGACCCTGTAGGACCCCCTCCCCAGACAGTTTTTAGTACTCATCTCCTTGAGACCCTCTAGGACCCCCTCCCTGGACAGTTTTTAGTACTCACCTCCTTGAGACCCTCTAGGACCCCCTCCCTGGACAGTTTATAGTACTCACCTCCTTGAGACTCTGTATGACCCCCTCCCTGGACAGTTTATAGTACTCACCTCCTTGAGACCCTGTAGGACCCTCTCCCTGGACAGTTTATAGTACTCACCTCCTTGAGACTCTGTATGACCCCCTCCCTGGACAGTTTATAGTACTCACCTCCTTGAGACCCTGTATGACCCCCTCCCTGGACAGTTTTTAGTACTCACTTCCTTGAGACTCTGTATGACCCCCTCCCTGGACAGTTTTTAGTACTCACTTCCTTGAGACTCTGTATGACCCCCTCCCTGGACAGTTTATAGTACTCACCTCCTTGAGACCCTTTAGGACCCCTTCCCTGGACAGTTTATAGTACTCACCTCCTTGAGACCCTCTAGGACCCCCTCCCTGGACAGTTTTTAGTACTCACCTCCTTGAGACCCTGTATGACCCCCTCCCTGGACAGTTTTTAGTACTCACCTCCTTGAGACTCTGTATGACCCCCTCCCTGGACAGTTTTTAGTACTCACTTCCTTGAGACTCTGTATGACCCCCTCCCTGGACAGTTTTTAGTACTCACCTCCTTGAGACCCTGTATGACCCCCTCCCTGGACAGTTTATAGTACTCACCTCCTTGAGACTCTGTATGACCCCCTCCCTGGTCAGTTTATAGTACTCACCTCCTTGAGACTCTGTTAGTGTATGACCCCCTCCCCTGACAGTTTATAGTACTCACCTCCTTGAGACTCTGTAGTGTACCCCCTCCCCTGACAGTTTATAGTACTCACCTCCTTGAGACCCTATATGACCCCCTCCCTGGACAGTTTTTAGTACTCACCTACTTGAGACTCTGTATGACCCCCTCCCTAGACAGTTTATAGTACTCACCTCCTTGAGACTCTGTATGTCCCCTCCCTGGACAGTTTTTAGTACTCACCTCCTTGAGACCCTGTATGACCCCTTCCCTGGACAGTTTATAGTACTCACCTCCTTGAGATCCTGTATAACCCCCTCCCCTGACAGTTTATAGTACTCATCTCCTTGAGACCCTGTATGACCCCCTCCCTGGACAGTTTATAGTACTCACCTCCTTGAGACACTGTATGACCCCCTCCCTGGACAGTTTATAGTACTCACCTCCTTGAGACCATGTACGACCCCCTCCTTGGACAGTTTTTAGTACTCACCTCCTTGAGACCCTGTATAACCCCCTCCCCAGGGACGGGGTGACAGTTAACGATGTCGGCCCAGGAACTGATCTTGTAGATTCCTCCCATGTACTGATGCTTTACCGTGTTTCCAATGTCTGCAAACTTCCTACAGAAAACAACAGGCCCATTACATGTATGACTGATCATGCATATCAAACATTTTCCTGTGTTGAAAGTTAAAGCAGTTATACCCTGAATATGAAAAAAAGATAAAGGAGGGTCAAGAAAATAGTATCATTACTCTTAATGCAAAGATAATTAAGAAATATCTAATTAGATCTTCATTAAATTACCTGATTATCTAATTAGAACTTCGTTAATTTACCTGTCCTCAAACAGTAGGAAGTTATGTTTTACGGCCAGATCTGTCAGTGAGTGGATAAATTTCTCGGAGAAATCTGTGACGATGTCCACGTGAGTCTTCGCTATACATATATAAGGTCCAACAGCATCCAACAACTGAATGATTAAAAATACATAGGATCCTTACTGTCTCATACTTATACAGTATACTTAAATGTTATCTTCACATACTTAAGTTTTTATAACAATTACTTTAGGTAGTGATGTTATATGTTTTACCTTTAATACTGTAAATCACTTTTTATTCGCGAGAATTTTATTTTCGCGTTATTACGCGAGACGAAATGCTAGCAAAAATATCATTCTCGCGTATAATAGAATTCCTTAAGATTACATAGAGCAATGACAACACTTCGTGAAAATTTTGTCTCGCAAATAAAGAGTCAATGACTATCTCGCGAAAATAAGGTGTCGCAAAAATTAAGTGATCTACAGTATTTCTTCTGAGATACTGTATTATTTGAGACATCTTTAATTCAAATTACTAAAGTTTGGAATCATTCCAAGACTACTAATTTTCATGATGGAGGCAATACTCTACACAAATACAGAGGTGAATAATTGGCTCATGACGAGAAGTATTTGCCCGTAATAGAAGGTCATTAAACTTAAGGATGTTTCTTACTTGCAAATAAAAGCTGGTTTACAGAGGTGAGATCAAGACCTAAAGCAACAGCCAAGATATTTATCTGTGTAATCTCCACAGCTTTAAGTTTTTATTACTAGGTAGCAGTATTAACTGTTACTTACCTTTAATATTTCTTCTGAGGTAGTGAGATCAACAGAAATAGCCAGGTTACTTTTCTTTTTGTCCATTATTTCATACAATCCACGAAGAACAGCATTTTTGCACATTTTCATTTTGTCTGCGTAACTAAAGACCTGAAACATTTCAAGACAGGTAGTTTAACTAAAAAAAAGAAATTAATAAAAATTTCAGAATTTGCTGATGTGTTTGTAAAGGTGAAGCTAAATTGGTTAAATTTTTTTGCGTACTGTAAATTTTGTTTTCTTGTTTGGATCTGGTACAATTTTCTCTGAGCCATTTGTCGGAGTTTCCCCGTCGAATCTGTTCTCCTCGATAAATCTTCTGGTCCTCTCTACGATGCTTTTATCTAACTTTCCGTGAGATTCCAACACTTCTAGTACTGTTGTCAAAGTACAAACACTGACCAAACAAAAAAAAAGAACATGTATGTTATGGAAAAATCAAACAATATACATGTACATGTAAAACTGCATATTTATCATTTTTTAAAAAATCTAATTTGATCATTTGGTTAATATTTAGCCAGGATATTTGACATTAGCAAGGATATCTAACATATGCTAGGATATTGATATAGCAAGGATATCTAAAGAGGAAAAGTCAAAAAGTACACAAATTGGCCTGATTTCAAAAAAGGACAGTCTTGCCCCTGGATATATCTACAGACTATATATCTTTACAGAACAACTTTCTTTTTTCAATATCTCTTTCATATTTTCTGTAAGAGGTCTTCAAAATAGCATATGTATATAGCCGAATTTCGTACATTTTACGGAACCTCATAATGACGTGAATTTTAACACTTCTGAGATCTCATAAATAAAATGGTAAATATTTATTAATTTATGAGAATTTGACAAAAACGTGTTTTACAATATATTACAGATAGTACATGTACTTTAATATTTTGTTAATAAAAGATAATTTAAAAATAAAGTCAGGTATAAACAAGCTTAGGTACATGTACAAGTGAAAATGACAGCGTGCCCGTTTAGCGCCTGTGTGTTTATCGCGGTACACGTAAATAATTAGATACATTGTAACGTTTCTTTATGGACATTGATAATGTTTTAAAATAATAAATCTATCAATAATTTACACAAAGTTTATGCATTTGATATTTTAATCAACCTGCATATGTATATCCAAGTCCAGGAACGTGGCAACGGGGGGGGGGGGGGGGGGGGGGGTTAAATGTTAAAATAAAAATAGGCACCACATATAACGTAGAGAACAAGTGCTGCGTTTAATGTTTAATCCTCATATGTAAGACAGTCCCGGTGTTCCATACACATTCACCAACAAAGAAAGAGGTACCGCGTGATATTTTATGCATGGACTTGTGAAAATATTCTTTTTCTCAAAGCAATCATCCTTATGTTTTAGCAAAATGTTATCACAATCATCAATTCAAAGTTTTTAGAAAAAAATAATGGATTTATTTTAACTAATCAATACAGTGTGTTTATTGACAATCACAAGACAGGGTTATGAAGTTTCATTTTTGCCTGTCATCTTTCTGCTTTTCAACATTTTCAACTACCGGGTATTTTCGACACTTGTGCATTTTCGAGCAATACCTATACTTCGTTGAACGAATACTTCCGAGAGCAGCATTAGCAAACCTCTAATGCAAGAATGCCGCTTAATCAGGGGCAGATCCAGGGCCGGTGCCTCGGGTGTGCGCACCCCCTCCCCCTTTCAAATTTTTAAAACAAGATTTACTATACTAAAAACACATTAAAACCAAGTTTCCTTATTCTGTGGGTGTGTGTGTTTGTGAATTTAACCCTAGCACAGGGTGTCCTAATTTTTTTTATCTTGAATTATTCATTACATAGCGATCTATCGAAATATCACAATTTTATTTGGGGACAGACCTGCCCTGAAAGACTTCTAGGACAAATGTATTTTCTAAATGTCACTTTTTTCGGGAAATTGTTCTCTCCTACAAGTCATTTTTTTTTGTCAAAGTAAATACATCCTATGATGAGCGATATCGGAAACTAGTTTTTTACCACTCTTTTATAACATATATCATTATTATTCATACATTAAACACAGAATAGAAACAATTCATCCTTTTTGAGATTATTCTGATAATAAATTGATAAATTCATTATTTATGTAAAGGCCGGCTAAATATTACAGTATTCCTATTACATATTATGTTTTTTTTTTTACAGAATGCTTATTTTGTTTGTCAGTAATAGACACCCCCAACCCTAAAGCATACACATGGAAAACGAGGCTACAGACTTGGGCTGGCATACGTATTTAAAAATCACGATTTAATGAATATATTGGGCCATTTACTAAGAATATTTTTTAAAAAGCATAATCTACATATTGAAATATTAGTGCCCCCTCCTTCACTCTCGCTCTCTGAAACATTCTGTCTACCTTTTGATATTCAGACTAAATGAAAAATATCAATGTCCGAGCAAAATATAAACATAATAAAGTGCCGCGCCACAGCATGATACGCCCGTCAAAAAATTACAATTTTCTTGAACAGTTTAGGTGCAAGAAAATCACATCAACCTTGATTCTAAGATTTTGATGATTTTTCCATTCCTTAAAATATTTATCCATCCCCTGTGATGTAGGCATCAATTATAATAAATATTACATCACTGATAGATTTCTGTGCTGGTTGTGTTATTGTCAAATGCCCATCATCAAATTAGTCTTAACAACTTAATCTATACCAAATTAATTTTGAAAGAAAAGGCTGGTCATCAAATGACATATGTTATAAACTGACCAGCAGTTCTTCTGTCTAATCCCCAAAGGGGCTGCTTAATCAGAGCGACTGAGACAGCTACCCTTCCTACATTGAACTCATTAATTAATCTTTAACTGGATGCTTGTCTACTCATTACTACCAAGAGATGAATGGGTCTGCACTATCTACTATAATTCTTTTTTAAAAACATATAAAATACTCTCAGATTTTTTTTTTTTTTTTTGGTTGAGATTTAATGTCCGACAGGTTTTAGTATGTAATTCATATGGACATGCTGATTCAACTCCACCCCATAAATTAGTTTTTAAATTAATAATATTACATATATCAGATTAGTCTATTATGCAATATCAAATTAGTTTTAATTACTTTTCATCAAATTCATTTCAAAACTTAAGCTAGTCAACAAGAGCTATTTTTAATCAAACAGGCTTACCCATTTGCCCAATTCTCAAGGGATATAGATAACGCCAATGCTCTGTCGGTTAGCTCCTTGCACTCAAAACCCATTAATTTCTCTCTAATTTGACATGCAATTTTCTGTTATCAAAATTCTTCTTGACCAGTGCTTGATAATTACACTCATGGGAGACATGGGATTTCTCTAACATACATTATATTTGTTTTAGATTGCTGTCAAGTATATGCTTAAAAAAAATAAGTATTTTCTTGATTTAACACTTTTTTAATAAGAACAGTGCAATACTCTTACATTATTTGGGATGTGTAAATGAATAGTAAAAAGACACATTTTTTTTTAAAAATTCACTTAAATTAAAGGTCACAGTGACCTTAAAATAGGTCGCAACACACCTTCTACCTAAGATGCATAAACTGGCCAAGTTTGATGATTGTAGGTCTTATGGTTTTCTAGTTATGGGCCGGAAAGGATTTTTCCATATTTGGCTATAACTTCTTAATTAAAGGTCAGAGCGACCTACTTTTTGTGCGCGACACACCTTCTACCCAAGATGCATCAGATGACAAAGTTTGATAATCCTAGGCCTAGTAGTATTAAAGTTATGAGCCGGAAACGAAAAAGCTAACAGACAGACGGACAGACGGACGGACACGAAGCCTATAACATAATACGTCCCGTCTTAAGACGGGCGTATAAAAAGATTCAGTAAACATATACATCTGACCTGTATTTAGCTATGTAGACATTTAAAAAATTAATCGCTCGCGATCTACCCGATGCGTGATAATGATTATGTAACACACAGTCTCAGAATATATTGAATACATGTAAGTCTATGTACTAACTTTAAATAGTAATAATGTTATTTATTTAAATTTTAAACATTTTTTTAATATCTAGAGTTATTGATCTTCAATCATCACGAGTACAAAGAAATGAAGTTCCCTAAAAAGTCTGACGTCATTTTCTGCACATTGTGACGTCACGAGAAAAAAATTGACGACTTGTCAAATGTTGAAACAAAAAACCAAAACAAATAGACCTATTCTGGTTATAACCTGGCTACTTTGGAGGGCTTCAGTTAAACAATGGTTAAGAACAGACAGGCAGATGTGGAAAGCATAGACTAACGCGAATACATTTCTATTTTTTTAATGTTTTTAATTGAACAAAGAACTGGGGTATTAAAATCTGTTTAGCCTACACTATTTACCGTGCATACTGCATAAATAAATTACAATTAAAAAGCCAACATCCGGTTTGGCTAAAACTACCCACCCCTGCATTGACGTAGTCGAGTAGATACGGAAACCACAAATGGTTTTTAAGAAAACGATGATTAATTTTTTAAGAAATTCACAGGCCGTATATTGTACTTTCTGACTTTTGTTCTTTAGCTAGGATATCTGATAATAGCAATGATATGTAACATCAGCTAGGATATCTGATAATAGCAAGGATATCTAATATTAGCTAGGATATAGGATAATAGCAAGGATGTCTAATATTAGCTAGGATATCTGATAATAGCAAGGATATCTAATATTAGCTAGGATATCTGATAATAGCAATGATATCTAATATTAGCTAGGATATCTGATAATAGCAAGGATATCTAATATTAGCTAGGATATCTGATAATAGCAAGGATATCTAATATTAGCTAGGATATCTGATAATAGCAAGGATATCTAATATTAGCTAGGATATCTGATTATAGCAAGGATATTTGATATTAGCTTGGATATCTGATAATAGCAAGGATATCTAATATTAGCTAGGATATCTGATTATAGCAAGGATATTTGATATTAGCTTGGATATCTGATAATGGCAAGGATATCTAACATTATGTGGAAACAAATCTTCAAAATTTCAATGAGGATACCAATGTCATTATAGTGGTGATCAAAAATTCAAATTTCAAAAAGCCACTTTTTTTCATAAACTTGGAAAATGTTCTCCAAAACTCTATTTAGGATTGTCCCTCTCATTCTGATAATGGCAAGGATATCTAACATTATGTGGAAACAAATCTTCAAAATTTCAATGAGGATACCAATGTCATTATAGTGGTGATCAAAAATTCAAATTTCAAAAAGCCACTTTTTTTCATAAACTTGGAAAATGTTCTCCAAAACTCTATTTAGGATTGTCCCTCTCATTCTACATGTAAAAGCTTCCAACTTCGTTGTAGCTATGATACATCTCTTTCTAAAATGTTTACCCTTGAAGGGTTTCATTAATATTTAGTACCTATAAAGTTTTATGCCTATTCACCAATATTCAGTACCTATGTAGTGTTGTACCTATTCATTGATATTTAGTACCTATGAAGTGTTGCACCTATTCATTGATATTTAGTACCTATGTAGTGTTGTACCTATTCATTGATATTTAGTACCCATGAAGTGTTGTACCTATTCATTGATATTTAGTACCAATGAAGTGTTGTACCTATTCACCTTTATTTAGTACCTATGAAGGGTTATGCCTATTCCTTGATATTCAGTACCTATGAAGTGTTATGACTATTCATTCATATTTAGTACCTATGAAGTGTTATGACTATTCATTGATATTTAGTACCAATGAAGTGTTGTGCCTATTCATTGATATTTAGTACCTATGAAGTGTTATGACTATTCATTGATATTTAGTACCTATGAAGTGTTATGTCTATTCATTGATATTTAGTACCTATGAAGTGTTATGACTATTCATTGATATTTAGTACCTATGAAGTGTTATGACTTAGTACCTATGAAGTGTTATGACTATTCATTGATATTCAGTACCTATGAAGTGTTGTGCCTATTCCTTGATATTTAGTACCTATGAAGTGTAATGACTATTCATTGATATTTAGTACCTATGAAGTGTTGTGCCTATTCACTGATATTTAGTACCTATGAAGTGTTATGACTATTCATTGATATTTAGTACCTATGAAGTGTTATGCCTATTCACTGATATTTAGTACCTATGAAGTGTTATGACTATTCATTGATATTTAGTACCTATGAAGTGTTATGCCTAGATATTTAGTACCTATGAAGTGTTGTGCCTATTCATTGATATTTAGTACCTATGAAGTGTTGTGCCTATTCATTGATATTCAGTACCTATGAAGTGTTATGACTATTCACTGATATTTAGTACCTATGAAGTGTTATGCCTTTTTTCTTCAGAGCTGTTTGTCCACCTTGTTCCCTGTCCAGTAGAACTACAGCGTCAGTAACTCTTACTGATATTGACTGAAGGGTCTGAAAAAGTCAAAATACACCAGAAATGTTACTTTACATCTGAAAATATTAATTCTTACCCAGTAACTAATTATTCTTAGTATCTAAACTTAAAATTATCAATGCTTACCCAGTAGTTCAAAATTCTTAGAATCTGATAAATGTAAGTTCTTATGCAATAACTCAATAATCGCAAATTCAACTTGTAAATGATAATATAGTGGTACAACGCTTCTTGCCTGGACAGTTTTGGTAAAGCGGCCTCACCTGAATGGTTTTAGTATAGCGTGTCTCACCTGAACAGTTTTGGTATAGGGTGCCTTAGCTGCAGATCTGTAGCTCTCCGAAGACATATTTTGATGGACCGGAGAGCTACAGTGCCACCCATTGAAAAAACTGTATATTTATTGCGCACAAAAAAGTGCGTCCGGTTCTTGATTAATTCTTCCAAATTCTTACCTCAATTGCAAAATATGGAAGATTTTAAACATTCCTTTCTCCTCTATCAAGTACTCTCGTAATTGACATCTGAACGAAGCATATTGGACCGAATTATCTTTGAAACCAGAATGGTAGTATAAATAAGCGAAATGTTCTATGATTACAATATCAGGGTTAGGAGGACTATTAACAACAATTATGAGGAATGTTTGGTTGCGGAAACAGCAGAAGAATTTGTTCAGAATACACGGTTAGTAATGTTTTGAGATCACAGTTTAAAAACATGGAGAAATAAATCGAGAACTTTTTTGTGCGCAATAAATATACAGTTTCTTCAATGGGTGGCACTGTAGCTCTCCGGTCTATCAATCTATTTTTTACGGAGAGCTACAGATCTGCAGCTAAGGGCGCCTCACCTGAACAGTTTTGGTATAGTGCGCCTCACCTGAACAGTTTTGGTATAGTGCACCTCACCTGAACGGTTTTAGTATAGCTTGTCTCACCTGAACTGTTTCCATGACAGAGCCACCACTAGTTACCACGTCCTCCACGATCAGACAGCTCTCTCCCTCCCTGTAGTGACCCTCCACCATCTTCTTTGTACCATAATCTTTTGCCTCTTTTCTGCGAATTAACATCGGCACATTGTGGTGAACAGAGAAGCACTGAAATGTAGTTTTTAATATAATTGAAAAGAGGAGCAACATAAAAAATAGTTTTCTAACTCTTAACTTGCAGTATACTATGGAATTGCTTAAATCCATTGGGTCAATGTACATGCACAAGCAGAATTTTATTTGTTCCTTATCATGGGTATGTAAAAATGACGTTAACTTTTTCCATAGTATATTTTTTAAATCTCTTTCAATCAAGTTTGTAACTCCATACTGTAGCTATTGGAAGTGCTGTGTACGGAACGCCGCAGACAGAGTCAAAACGACAGTCAGCTGATTTAGCCACCTCCCATGTCAATTCCGATACTTCATTCTAAAGGGAGAGAAGAATCAAGTTTATAAATAATGTAATAGGAATCCAATAAAGTTCCAGTCATTGTAATAAAAAGGTACCAGGCACTCTGTTCCATAAACAGGTACATTCCATATTTTGTTTTGTAAAAGTACTTATCATTTTTATATATTCCTAATTAATAAGTGGACTTAGAATTCACTAAATAATTGTAATAAAGAATGTAAAACAGTTCAAAACATGTAATTACTGTAAATCACGTTTTATTCGCGAGAACTTAATTTTCGCGTAATTACGCGAGACAAAGAGCTCGCGAAAATTTCATTCTCAAGTTTAAAAGTATTCCTTATGATTATATAGAGGAAAAACAACAAATTCGTGAAAATTATGTCAGGCTAATAAAGAGTCAATGTCTATCTTGCGAAAATAAGGTGTTGCGCAAAAATTTAGTGATCTACAGTATATGTTTCAGGGTAATATATATAAATTGTACAAGTGTAAATGTACATTTTTATAAAATGCTGTGAAAAGGGGAATAACTCTTTCAAAGTATGCATAGAAAGAATGTATTGTGAATTCATGAGTAATTTGTATGTGTAAAGAATTTTCATTTTGATTTATATATAAAATTGTACTCATATTACTTACATGTATATGAAATGTATATTTACAGCATTATCTATTCTCCAGATACCTAAAAATAATAAATCACCAAAACACGAACCCGTCGGTATCATATGGTCTTATTTATCATCCATACATGGCCTCTTTTACAATTGAAATCTTAAGAAATCTATCTTTTAACACAGGTACTTGCCAAAGGGTCTTGGTTTATAAATATGAATGTTTACATTTATTTATACATATTTATAAACCAAGACCCAACTACCTGTGTCTTTTAAATGTAAATGTCCAAGTTAATTCACTTACACAGCTGTGTGTGAACTCATTGCTATCAATCATGCAAAATCTTAGCCTGTAAATTTATGTAATATAGCAAATTTATTATAGAATGTCAGTTGTCTTTTTGAGAGACTTACCAAAAGAGAGGGATATGACACAATGACACGCAAATCAAAATATACTGGAGAATCAATGCCACTTTTCAACTTAAAATTTCCAAACTTCACAGCCTCTACTTTATAGAGTTCTAATATTAATGATTCTTTTCTACTATTTAACGATTTCTCATTTGCCGCCATGCTGTTCGTTGTAAATAAGTTCGGGTTCGGTATGAAAGGAAATGGTGTAAAACTAGGAATTGTAAAAGAAATGAAAAATTGAGTTTGTCATGAAAAATACTCGTTATATAATGATATGAACTAAAATGTATTTTGTTGCAGTGAATTTAAGTTTGTAATATTTTGCATTCTCTGAAATTACTGAGTAAAGCAACAGTGAAGCAAAAATCTTTCTAGCATTCGCTACAGTAAATATACTAATGATAACCAGCTCCTACTTTCATTTTCCTTCTGGGGTGATGATGATGTTAGTTGTAGTCAAATTTATTCCCTTAACCATTCTATTGACAACTGTTTTCAGTGCAATTGGTAAAGTACAATTCATAAATTGATTATTTGTCTCCTATAGCTTTCATTACTTCTTTCCTGTTACGCATAAATATAACGTAAAATTGTGAAATTTGGTCACAATTATATTGTGTAATTCCTTGGCACTGTGTATACATAAATTGACATCCTCATTGAATTAATAAATGGGGTTTAAGAAACAATCTTTCCTTTGTAGAAACCCCAGTCAATGCCACCATCAACTCACCAAAAAATTGAAAGCACTCTGACATTGAAATTATTTCTTTTAATTCAGGTGTTTTCATATTTTTTTCTTGCAGATGTCAAACCAAATCAACCAGTTTTGGTCAACATTAAAGGACAGAGCAACAATTCTGTAACTCTGAGGAATGTGACTGCAGACATAAGTTATGTAACATGTCAGGTCCATTCCCAAACCAAAAACCTCACGCTTTCTTCCAGTCCCGTACCGAGGGTGGGGAAGTCATTGACAGGCGTAGACATTGGAATTGTCACTGTCCTGGAACCCGATCAGACAGAAGTTACCTGGTACCTCCAGTCAAACCACAGCCAAGATGTACAAGTTCTGCTGGCAGTGTTCCTGATGTCAAAAAATGGTAAAATTTCAAGATTATTAATGGATAAATTTAGTATCTGAAATTACATTTATGGTTTGATATTTTGTGAGCTATTTACCATAAAATACATTGTAAGTCATTTCTTATTACATGTATTTGTTGCTGTTGAAATATTGCTTATAACAATGCTTACAGCAAAGTGATTTGCTGTCCCCATGGCTTTGATGTCATATATATTGTAAACTTAACTTCTTTGTTGATGTACCCGACTTTAAATAAATATTATCTTATCTAACGGGTATAACAAACTACACTTATAATAAAGCAAAAATGTCTACCTCTGGCAATTTGTTATAAGCATCTACCGGTACATGTTTAATTTTATTTGTTGGTACTGTACTAAGTGTAATCTGAATTTTCCCTTATTTTAAAGATACTGTATACAGGGAAATTTTCACCACCTGTTTTATTTTTGTAATCATTCCTTTCGCCCTTTCCTCATTTGAGCGAATTTAAAACGGGGCAAATTCAAAGAATACAGTATAATTTCTTAAACAAAACTACGACTGGGAATTTAAAACGGCTAAATTGTTTGCAAGTATGAAAAGCGAAAATAACTCTGCATAAAGTACTTAGCTGATCGATGCACTCTGGAGCTTTCACATTTTTTCAGACACCTTAGTTGTAATCATTCTGATGTTTTCTCTATTTTACACTGCGCATCATAGCTGTAATTTTGATTCTTTCCAATTTTACAAAGCTCTAAGTCAATTTCTATAATCTCTTCCACAGAGCCCTAATTATTGGATTTAATCTGGAATTCTCTATTTTACAGAGTCTCTAGTTGATGGATATAATCTGCAGGGGCTGACAAATAGATTTTTTATGCACTTGTCCAAGGGCAAGTGCATGGTCAAAGTTCACTTGCCCTACCAGAATTTTGCTTGTCCCGCCATTATGATACACAACTTATACTGTTTATATTTATACACATTTCAAAAAATAGGAAGACAAATACTGAGTAGATCATGCAAGCTCCTGTGCTTAGTTTTAATTCTATGACTTACATGTGGATTTGACTTTTTTTTAAAGTCACTTGCCCGCAGGCAAGCGGTTGATAAAATTTCACTTGTCCACCCCAAAAATCCACTAGCCCTGGGCGTCAGGCAGTGGGATTTGTCAGCCCCTGAATCTGGAATTCTCTATTTTACACAGTCTCTAGTTGTTGGGTATATCTGGAATCCCCTTTTTATAAAAAGAAGTCTGTTTGGATGTACAGTGTACAATCTAGATTTCTTTGTATTATAGAACCGTCTGTTGTTGGATGTAATTTGAATTTCTCCATCTTACAGAACCCCTAGCTGGTGGATGTAATCTAGAGTTTTCTCTGGAGGATGATGCCAATCTTCGGGTCTCTTACACCACCACAAAGAATCTTGTAGAATTCCAATTGTCCAACATCCCACTGAGGAATAGATCCGCCCATCCTTCATGTGAAGACCGGCCTTCTCAGAATATGTTAGAATACAGCATCTACGTGAAATACTTGTCCGAGAATGATTTCACCTCGGGGGAATACTTCTCAACAGTGAAACAAATGATGACAGCTGAGGATGTGATGACTAATGGTCTCCTGGTAAACAAGTATTCTATTCTAAATTAATACTGTAAACCAACTTTTATTCGCGCGCGAGAATATTTCTCGCTGCGAACTGGTCCTTAAAGCCTCTATGTTTATTAAAAACAGACCAAAAAAGGCATAATCGCAAAAATTAATTGTCGCGAAGTAGTTTACCCCTAGTTAATCGCGAAATAAAGTCGTCGCGAATAAAAGTTGGTTTACAGTAATCAGATCTGTGTGATGGTATTGATCTAAAGAAACTGCTCAACATTTCTAATTTCAGCTTTCTAAAACAACAAGTAAAGACACCGTTCAAAAACCAGAATTCCTGGCAGCATCATACACAGGAACAGGGGCTGTGTATAATATGGTTGTCAAGGCAACAACCCCATCAGGCGTAACCATGGCAGCATACTTCCCTCAGGTCACATACAGCTGTAATATACAAGAAAGGGAGGGCTGCAAAATGTATGGTCAGTAAATGTTACAGCAGAAAGTCAGAATTTGTGCACAAGTGTTGTAAATTGTAATTAGACATTCAATAAGTATCCAGCAGTAGTTCATAAGCTGTCAGTAATTGATAAATCTCCGGGGCTTCATTTTACAAAGAAAAATTAGACTAAGATCAAAATATTATTTTATGAATACCCCAGTAATTAAAAAATAGAGTTTTACATCTTAGTCTCAAGTACTTTTATAACTGGTCCCATTTTCTATTATTAATTTTCTCAGTGTTCCTTTACAGGTGTATTCTGGCTGATTGCTGCAGTTGTACTGGGGATAGTGGGACTCTTCCTGACTTTTCTGGGACATAGATTTTTCAGAACTGGTAAATACTGGACTTTTGTAGAGATGGGGATCTATAAAGTTGTCCTTTAGGAGGTGCAAAATGGATATAAAGTTTTGACCCATGGGAATTCACAATACATGTCTCTATACCACAAATACAACAAAAAAGAAACCACTGTTAAATAAGTGCTTTATAGATTTATATTCAATGTTTATATCACTCTATAAGGTATGATAGCTGGGTTAAAAGTAAAGTATAACTTAAGTTTTCCTTATTGAAAGTATCTTGTTATTTGTTAAGGTATAATTATATGTTATATTTCAGGAAACTTTCTATGTGCCTTCCTGGGATTTTGTATCATTTTCTACAGTGTAGTGTGTCTTTACACAGATCAAACTGATACAGGTAAAATCCTTAAAAATGTTCTCCTTAATTGTTCAAATTAGTGACATTGAATCTTCTTGTCAAATATTTTGCTTGTGAACAACCCATTTTTGATTTCCATGAAATGTAAAAAATTCATGCCTTATTTTGTCTCAGCCTCAGGTGACGATGGGAATCGATAAGAATTTCACAATCGATGATTGGGTTACTGTTACTAATTCATTATCAATTTTAATTGGACATTTAAAATGCCAATCAATTTTTGAATGAGTACCTGGTAAGTGGTAATAATGGGTAAATGACTACTTTTTATGGTGGTCCAGCTGGTCCTTTGTTTATTTTGTAGAGCCTTCATACCCAGGAATGTGCTTTGTTACTGAGTATGAATACAATTGCCTTGTTAAACGAAGCATTTGAAAATTAAATGTGTTATCCTCTGAAATCAGAGGATAACTATCCCACAATGCAATGTGGTTTCCATGCATGTATATGGTAAAAAATTTGGCTGCCATAATGAATCTTGCTATCCTCCAAGACCACCCAGACCTGATAAGTTAATAGCTATGTGGTGGCTGGAAAATTTTGCTTAAAAACTATTATGATGGTAAAATAAAATAAAGAACAATTAATCAGAATTTAAAAAATGTATCCAGGTAATCCAGTGCTTGCATTATGCCAGCAATCAACTGTTTTGCAATTGTAATCAATGATTGGAACACCACTAGCCTCAGTCATTACTATGTGTCTATTTTACAGTGGTGCTGGTCATGACGTTTATTCTGGGTGTGGTTTGTGCTGCCCTCTGGGTGGGGATGTACGAGTGTGTGGGGGTACCTGCCCTCTCTGTACTGGTATCATTACTATCTGTTTATTTTACAGTGGTGCTGGTCATGACGTTTATTCTGGGTGTGGTTTGTGCTGCCCTCTGGGTGGGGATGTACGAGTGTGTGGGGGTAGCTGCCCTCTCTGTACTGGTATCATTACTATCTGTTTATTTTACAGTGGTGCTGGTCATGACGTTTATTCTGGGTGTGGTTTATGCTGCCCTCTGGGTGGGGATGTACGAGTGTGTGGGGGTAGCTGCCCTCTCTGTACTGGTATCATTACTATCTGTTTATTTTACAGTGGTGCTGGTCATGACGTTTATTCTGGGTGTGGTTTGTGCTGCCCTCTGGGTGGGGATGTACGAGTGTGTGGGGGTAGCTGCCCTCTCTGTACTGGTGTCATTACTATCTGTTTATTTTACAGTGGTGCTGGTCATGACGTTTATTCTGGGTGTGGTTTGTGCTGCCCTCTGGGTGGGGATGTACGAGTGTGTGGGGGTAGCTGCCCTCTCTGTACTGGTATCATTACTATCTGTTTATTTTACAGTGGTGCTGGTGATGACGGTGATTCTGGGGGTGGTGTGTGCTGCCCTCTGGGTGGGGATGTACGAGTTTGTGGGGGTACCTGCCCTCTCAGTTCTACTGTCTGGACTAGTGGCAGGGTACATCATCTCCAGTGTCGTCTTCTACACACAGTTTGGTGAGAGTCAACTTCAGTAGAAGTAGTTAGGCCATAAAAATTTAATTTCTTGGTTCTCAGGCTCTCCCTCATCTCTTCCAAGGGTGCCTCATTGACCCTTTTTATTGCTAAATCAATAAAAGAAAAATAAGAAATCACCTCCCTCATCATTTTATGAGGTTTTGTACAATGTAAAAATCTGCCTCATCAAGTTTTGGGGGCAATGAAAAATTAAAAAAAAAAAGTCTCCCTCCCTCATCATATTTTTTGAAAAAAGGCCTGAGAACCAAGGAATTAACTTTGCATGGACTTACTTGTTTACCAGTTCTTTCACTGACCATTTTTGATTTAATTCCCTTGAACTTTTGAAAAAAATTAAAATTCAAAGTTTTTAATCATTATCTCATGTCTTACAAATATGCAATTTACAGTTTGAAATTTGGACTGCCTGTGGGGACATTTGTGGCATTATGACACACCTGATCAATTCTTGATGGTAAATATTTTATGTAGTTGTATAGATCTAATTTATCTTCAATAGGTAACTTATCGTACTGGGACAGCTCCTTTAACTACGGACTTGCCTTTGCCTGTGGAGTCCTGGTTATTCCTGTGTTTATTCTGTCCTACACTAAAGTGGTAATGTATAAAGTTAAAACAATGATTTGGCATAAATATTGATAAAGTTAATTACTTATCACATTATACTCCTACCTTGAAAAGCAGGAAGATATAAAGTGATGGGGTGTCCGTCCATCTGTCTAGCTGTATAGCTGTCCGTTACACTTTGGGGCATCCATCTCTTATCTGCAACTCCTCTTAAATGTCTAAATGAAAATTAATGAGACTTTCACAATATCTTTGATACTTAGTGCCATTGTGACCACTTATTTTACTTTTTAAGCAGACACATATTTCGGGTGTCCCATAGCAAAAGGTGGACACTGCCATTCCTTCTATAATATTGGGGGTATTCATCTCTTATCTGTGATCTCAACCAAGAAATATCTGAAGCAAGTAGTAATTGACATACTGACTAGTATTTGTAATATTAAATGAACATGATTTTTTTTTTCAGCTGAACATTGTATCGTGTGCATTCATTGGATCCTACCTAATTATCCTGGTCCCTGATATCTTCCTCTACACTGGAATGAAGTACATCATAGTCAATTCTATCAGACACTCCACCGATGTTGATTACATCAAAGTCATTAACACTGGGCCCTTCCTCTTGCCAGGTATGATCCATATCATTGTCTGGTCTCTATTTCTATAAAAAAATTCTGTGATTTTGTCTGGAGACATAATTTTTTATAAGCTATTTTGAAAAAAAAAAAATTAATGCATACAAAGCATTATTATCAATCTAATTGCAATATTATGAAATGATTTAATTTCATTGGATATACTATATGTTCCTGTTTCAGAGATAATCCTAGCCTGTGCCTGGTTTTTGGTATGTGTCTTTGGAGCATTCATACAGTTTTATCGTGACTGGGGCCAGCTTGACTTTCCGCAGAGTTCCAGAAGATGTGGAAGAAAATTACAACCAGGATATAACCGGATACCAGCCCGGTACAGCATGGAGTCCGAGGGGGAATCAGACAGGGAACCGGACGAGCGGTCACCCCTCCTCAGACCGGCGAGGAATACCGGGCACCACAGAGAGAGGGTGTTAGCGGCCCCTACATAGTAGTACAGGCAGGACAAATTGAAACAAATCCTCAACCATTCATACTTCTGTCTCATGTGTATGTACCATAGTATGTTAATCTGCTATAGAAATACATTCACATGTACCTAGTAAAACCATTCGTAAAAATGTTAATAATATGGTCTGCTGCATGCATACATATTCTCTAAAATCTTGCCAAAAATGAAAATAATAGAATTGTAATCATATAAGCTCAAAGCTCATAGAATAGAGAAAAGGGAAACAATAAGGTTTCTTTTTAAAAAAATGGACTCGACTTCAGCTCTAAGAGCCTTCAAAATACATTTTTTTGTAAAATATCGAATATATTTCTAATATCCCCTGCATATGAGCATTATAAACAATCAAATGTAGAGTTAACAATCATTCTGAAAGTATCGCATCAGCATTACTAATACCCTATAGCTACTGGCAAGTGTAATCGTGTTTTGTTCAAGAAATAAAAATTAAAAGGGACATGATTCCATAAAAACTGTTGAAGAGGAATGATGACAACTAGATTCATGACTCTTCAGGGTACACACACATTCCAAAAATCAGCTCAAAATCTGCAAGCATTGTAAAAAGCATGGAAAACCGAGTGGGAAAGACAGACAGACTGACAGACGAGGAGGAAACCTAAAGTCTCCTTCAGTTTCTGTATAGAGAGAATTAATTTACACGTAAAGGGAGATGAGTCACTCTGAAAAAACATATCTTGACCTGTTGTTTTTTTTTTTTTTTGTAGGAAAAGCTAAATGTATTTCTACTGTAAGGACTTCAGTTCCTCTGGTTTATTTCTGTGATATGTAAGTTTGCAATCAACCAATACTCAGTACAGTAGAAAAAATATTTAATATTTTTGTATTTATTTTTTATGTGATTGTAATTTAATGGAATTGGGGGTGGGGGTGGGGTAGTTCCATGCACTATTAATTACATCACATTTTTCCATGTTACAATATATTTATATTTCATTATAACAGGGGCTGTAGTTAAAAATCATGTTATCCTAGTTCCATTATAAATAAATTTATTGTTATATTTGTGCATTGTCTATTTCACATTACATTTTGATTTATAATTTTTTAATAAATCATGAATAATACATTTTTCTGCTTCTTTTTTTTGAACTGAACATGCATGATTTTATGGAATTCCATGCAAGATTTCAATCCAGTTTTTTATTTAAGAAAATTTATTCAAAATAGTGAATCACTAATTTTACTGAATGGCTCAAGACAATTGTTTTAATATGTTAAGTTTGAAAAGGCTTTGGACAAATCAAAATATAAAATGAATATTATAAATAAGAATTGTAATTTTTTTTCTTGGGTGATTAGTTTGTGACATAGAATACTAGTATTTTATGTAATTAAGGAGTGCTGCAACAATTTTTTAATTAGATTTTATGACATCTCTTGAGAAATTGTTTTCATAAGGGAAAGATTGATATAGGCTCTTAATTCAAATGAATGCCAGACTAACTCTTGATTTTTATTCACGAAACAGAATATTAAAAAAAACGTTGATTATAAACACCAGTGTGATTTTGTATCTCCTTGTGTGAATTGCTCTTATTGATAGTTTATATCTAAATTTTGTATAAAATTGTTAATTCGGCATTGTTTTCTCAATTGGTTAACAGTAACCCAATAAACACGCCAGCATGGATTGAGCAATGTTGACCAGTACGTTATAGTGGAAGTTGACACGGGTCGTTAGAGGTCACGTGATCTGAGCTCACGATGTCAAATTTAACTCAGTCAGGGGAACAAACAAATTAACGTGCTTATCTTAGTTTTTGAGAAAATCAAATTCGGACCAAAAGTAACTTTAACTTTGACACGAGAAGACGAATGAATTCTGCCAAAGTTTAAGGCTCTGAGTGAACTTTTTGAGACGATGGTCAAGAGAAAGCGAGAGGATGATTTCGAGAATTCCGAGGCACCGGCGGCAAAACAAGCGAACACTCTGCGAGGTATTCTTTTCTGTATTTACGTTTACAGTTATAAAAAAGGAAACGAGAAAACTCTTTAAGGGGAAAAAACTTGAAAAGGGTAAAATTATCATAATTACACTGTATTTAATTTATTTCTAAATTATCGGGTCCAATCAGTACATTTAGCTATGCAGGTACTGAGGTAGAATTGCTTACCGTAGATTTATTTAGCTATATGTATTTCAAAACAAGTTTCACAATGTCGCTTTTTATTCATTATAGAAAAAATCGCAAATATTTGATCAAAACTAGCCTAGGAAGTTCAGAGCAACGATAGTTCTTGGTATTCTTTTTAGGCAAGAAATGTACAGTTTATTTCCATTATCTGAGTAACTGTAAACTGTGTAAACCCCACGTGTGTAGTGAATCGTGGATAAGTATGATTACTTCACATTGTGCTCAAATTATTAACAATCAATTATCTTATTAACCACAATTTTTTAAATTAATATATGAGAAGCAATTGTATGGGTTACTAATTAATTTCTGTACCAAGATCAAAATCTTTAAAAACTTCGAATTCAATTGCGCTAGTGGCGCATCTTCAAGAGTGAATCGTTTTCAGATCAGTCAAGAGTTGAATATTATCAGTCATAAAAATGTGATTTTTGATTGCATATATCGAAAAAAATAAGTATAATTAAGTAGCTAATAAAGCTATTTAAGGTACATGTAGGTTGGCAGGCGCGGATCAAGGAATTCTTTTTACGGGAGAGGGGTCCATCCAAGTCAACAAAAAAAATCCAAAACCAGAAATTTCTTGACAAGCAAAAAAAAAAAAAAAAAAAAAGTAAGCTACCCGAAACTTTGAAAACCTATTTCGCGTAGGGGGAGGGGGTACTCGTTGACTTCTAATTTAAAGCTTCATGTCTTTGATTTTTCATAACTGACAAATTAACGCGTCTGTTTTCGTAAGGGGGTTAGCGTTTTCTAGGAGGGGATACACAGGTTGGTCAGGTCCAGGAAAATCAGTATATTTAGCTATATAGCTTAATTTACCTATATAGCTTTATTTAGCTATTTTGGAATTAGTTTCTGTTTTATGAAAAGCAGACAAAAAGTCGCATGTAAATTATGGCCGATATTTTTTTAAAAGGTTTTATAAAAACAACCTAGGGCAAAGATAGTAAAAACATTGCCTCTTTTAAACACCTTTTAACAAAAAATGCATCTCTACTGTTTGGAAAGCTGGAAGTGCGGTGAGGCATGACTAAGTGTGATTGGCTTGCATTGTGCTCAGTTATTACCAATCAATTATCTTGTTGACCAAAACTGCTTTTCTTTGTTAAAGTAGCTTCTTACTCACAGATTAACTGTTATACATAGCCACAAAACTTTTAGATCTTTGATTGCAATTGCACAAAAGGAGAAACATTTTTATAAGTGGGTTTTTAGTGAATTGTTTTCAGTCCTTTTCAAAGTTGATTATGCGACTTTTTGTCTGCTTTTCATAAAACAGAAATTTACTCTGAAATAGCTAAATATAGCTATATTATATAGGTAAATAAACCTTGAAACAGAAAAAAAAATCCACAGTGGTCGGTAGTTTACAGGTAAATCTTTTAAAAAAAGAAACACGAAAACCTTAAGTTTAGCTTAAGCGCTTTCATTTCAAATCTTCAGAAGCTTTATCCTATAAATAAACCTATATAGGTAGATTTAGCTATATAGCTAAATATAGTGATTTTTCCTGGACCTGTTGGTATATACAAACAATAACTGCAAATTCCAGGGACCCCCTCCACCTAGATCCGCGCATGCATTTACATAGCTAAATGTAGTAATTGTACCAGACCTGATTAGTATACAAAGCAAAATTGGACTTTGTGTGTTGTCCTTATCTTATTAAGGCTACTTGAAATTAGTTCTATGTTTAATATAAATTACCTTAAAATTTAAAAGATATGATGGAGGGAGAAGTTATTTTTAAAAATGCCGCTGATTAGCTTATATGAATTGTAGGCTGCATTTCATTTCCGGAATTTTTGGTAATTATCAACTTTTCATTTCCGACATTTTCTAGTTTTCATTTCCGACATTTTTTTGTTTTCGTTTCCGACATTTTTCAAATACATATGTAGTACATATAGTAACAGATTTGATAACTTTACTTATGAAAAATTTTAAGGAATAAATCATAAATAAATCATTGAAATCCAATTTTGTAAATCTATCAGTGACTTGGACATATAACATTGGCGGATCCAGAGGGGGGGTTCCGGGGGTTGGAACCCCCCCCTTTATTTTTTGCCAAGTGGAGAAAGAGAGAGAAAGAAGGGGGATAAAACGTTTCCCGAGAATAAGTATTTGTACGTCTAACTTAGATATGTACTGAATAGATAGATTCTCACACATTTAGGTTTTTCCATTCACCTTCACTATTACTTTTTAGGAGTGAATGGTAGAAAATATTCTACTTATTTTTATATATCTTATATATGAAATGTAACATGCGAGGTTAAATTTGATATTAGATTCCCGCGATCTTAATTTGGCTGTGTTGGCTACAAGAAGGTGCCATTTTTTAAAACTAAATCTTATGAAGGAACTAAAATTTAATTCAATGTTTTATACCCAACCCAAAAAAGAATTTTCAAATTCTTGAAGAAAATTCATTCTACTCTTCAGAAATGCTGCTAATCCATTCAATTATAAGGCTTCAGTAGTTTTTTTAAATGTGTTGATTTTCTTTATACGGACTGGGGGGTACCTTTTCAAAGAAAAAGGGACGTAGAACAAAGATATTATTTTCCACAATCTTATATTTTTCCATACATGTGTGTGAATCTTTGTCTGAGAGTGTGTAAGGGGGGGGGGGGGGGTAGAGGGACACAACCCTGGAACCCCCCTTTTAAAAATTGCTGAATCCGCCCCTGTATAAGTATGGTGCTGTCACTGACATTTAATTTAGTGCACATTAAATGTCTTGAAACAAGTTTTATGCTCATTGAACTTTTTTACCTAGACTTAGTGCTACATATATGCATATATGTATACATATTCTTTTGAATTTTCATTAATATTTTGGTATAAATACTTTTAAAATTCAATATCCCTTTACTTAGAAAGTATTGAATTGCCGCACAGGTAAATTCCGGAAATGAAAAGAAAATTATGTCGGAAATGAAAACAAAAAATGTCGGAAATGAAATAAAAAAATGTCGGAAATGCTATGCATATTTCCGGAAATGAAATGCAGCGGAATTGTACAGGTAATACTAATGATTGAGTAAAGCATCGGCTAATTGTTGAGTAAAAGTCATGTAAATGTACATATATTTTATAACTACTTCATTTGAATAAAAACTCATAGAAACTGTTGATTTAAAAAAAATGTACATATTTTCAAAGACTCAAGTTTTGAAAAAAAAGATACGACTGAATTTTATTATACATATATAATTTGACAATGGAAACATAGAAATATAGAATATTGCAAAGCTAGAAAAATAAAATACTAGAAAGGGAAAGGGGGGGGCGCAATTCATTTAGATGAAATTTTATTATTTCATTTTGAGCTAATCATTGTGCATGTAATGAACGATTGGACAACTGCAGAATATATAAATATTACAAATAGCCAACCAAAACTGATGTTTGAATTCTAGTTTTTACCGTTATATATGTGTTTTGAATAATCATTTATTAAAGCTGACATGAATTCTTAAAAACGCAACTTTTTCATCTATGTACGACTTGTTTCATACCAACTATAGCCGTATTCCGCCATATTTCTTTCAGATACCTTGTCTTATTGTAACGATATATACCCGAATGCCCTCGTTACACTTGAATGATTTTTTGGCTTGGTTATCGACTTGTGCACATCTCCGATGGTAAAACATTTGAAAACACATGGGTTGATCAAGACATTTCAAAACCACACAACATAATAATCATATTTCTGAATAATTATAGATTTGAATAAAATGTAATAAAAAAAAAAGAAAGAAAATGCAAGTTTGAAAGAAAGATTTAGTTGCACGAGTACGCATTTTTACACTGCGCCAATTTATGCAGAATAAACATGAAATAAAAAGCACTAAATCCCGTAAGCTAGCACACTTTGAAATTATTATCATTTGAATGGAACAAAACAATCAGCGTCTTTGATTTGCAGGTTTTATGCAGACTTTGATGCATGTTGAGAAAAAACGTCGAACGCTGTAAACGTACCCATACCTGGTAATAAAGTCACTGCATTGGTTCGAAGATGTGCACAAGTCAAGTGAAATACACCCTGAATTCCATTTATTGAAATATGCATCACAAAAAAGAAATAAACTCCATAAAAACTCAGTAAACACACTGTATCTACTCCGTACAGTCTAGCGCGTCGATACACTAAGTCCGTGCTGATCAGATTTTGGTCAGGGAAAATATCACAAGTGGAAAAGAGTGGAATTTACGCGGCTGAAATGGGGGGGGGGGGTCTAAAGTATAATTATAACGGCTTCATAAGGTATAACTGAAAATTGTCTATCTAGTTCTGATAAACATTCTTTATATAGGCTGCAGTTGTTTTGCATCGCAAAATTCATTTGTCAATTACAACTGATTATTTTAGTACTAATCTCAAATCTAAACCAAGTAATTTGATATACGGTAAATATTTAGTTCAAAACTTAAAAAAATTTAACCAGAATACAAAAGTTTATGTGTGCATCTGTACGTTCTTTAACACACACGCGGAAAAAACATCCCCCTTTTAGACTGATATTGAGGCATTTGTATTTTAAGGGCGAGGGGCAGAAATAATTGACATGGCCGTTACCTAAATATTCTTGGAAGACAGACATTTCTGCCAATTCCATTTTTGAAGATTTTTTATTGTCTCACTCCGACCACAAAGTATGAACATTTTTGCGGAATGTGGCTGTTTTATAATTATTACAGGAAGTCTTTCGAGATTTCAGTATCCCTGTCTGACAGTCTAGTTTTTTTAAAAAATAAAAATAATTTCTGTTGCAATATTTGGGAGATACTTTTAAAAACCTTGGTAGGGAAACTTGAAACCTGGTGGAATACTGATAATTTTTGATTACTCTTTTATTCATTGAGCTCTCTCGCTCTCTCTCCTCCTGTAACCATCTGTAAGCGCAATAATAGATATAAAATCATATTATTTTGTACTGTACCATTTATTAGATCTTGGGACAAATCAAAGATTTTTTTTGTCAAGCGTGGATGTCGAAACTTGTTCAAAAATTGAAATAATAATTTTACTTTTGACAAGAAAATAAACCTAAACGCCGAAATTGAAAGGAAAATACATGTAAACGTGAAGTCTACATCATAGGAATGGGAACATTGGGAACTTTCTCAAATACATGTACCTTCTCAGGTAAGGAATCTGGATAAAAATTATTTAGACAAGAGGTATAAAAAAGCTGATTTTTGGTAGAATGTGGAACTCTCATCGGCAGTTTGCTTTCCCTTCCTATATGCTTCGACTATAAATAATTTATATCCAACCCAGATATTTCCTGACATGCAAAAAAAAAAACCGTAAACTCGCCCAAACTTCAAAACCTATTTCGGACAAATTAGCCGATGACTTCTAATGCTTCAAACCTTAGCCTTTTCATACCAATTTAACACAAATTCGCGTTTACCAGGGAGTCTGCGTTTTCCGAGGGGGTTCCTACGTAACTTTTTTTCTTGCTTTAGTAAATAAATTTAATAACCTTGCAAACCCCAGGGGAGGGGGGGGGGGCATGGCACTCATGCATAGAATCACAACATAGCCACTTCAATTTATATTGATGGGGGACCTCCAAAATCAGTTGACAAGCAAAAAAAAAACAACAAACAAACAAACAAAAAGCAACAAAACAAAACAAACACAAAAAAAACAAAAAAACAAACAAACAAAAACTAAGCACCACACTCTATACAATCCTTTTTGGTAGGGGATAAAGGAGGCTTCCTGTAACTTTTCTGTTCAGTACATTACTTTTGAATGCTTGAATCTGCGTATTTTCCAGCAAACAAAAAATGTGGAGGTAGCTTTCAAATCAAAATTTTAATTTATTTAAAACTGCAGCAAAGATTATCCTCAGAAAAAGTGACCCCCCCCCCCTTCATCTGCATACTACGGGAACATTTTAAACCTTTATCTTTACCGAATCGAAATATTTCATGCATACTTCTTAAAGTTAGTTACTTCTGAAAATGGTCCAAAAATGGTGAAAAAGTTCGCTGGAATCTTCCTTGTATGTTAATTGTGGGTGGTCGAAGCCCTTAGATAGGGTTACCAAGACAAGATAGAATTTGTCCCCATTGTAATTTAAAAGAACTCAGAGGTGAGTTTCATTAATACTAAAGTGCAGCTCGCTACTTTCAGAAAGAATGCTATGCTTAACAGAAAAAAGCATAAAATTTCAGAATGTAATTAATTTTAAACACATTATGAATAACAATAAACACTGTTTCCTGAGAAAATTGTGCTCGTTTATAAAGAAAAAAAATAAAATATGCCCCCGCCTAAATTACCATACTTCACATTTATAGCAACGTACAATTTTTTGGTTTCGTTTCTTATTCACACATGCTTTATAGATCTACTGTTATGTATAAAATCACCTATATATTTTGTGATTTTTGTATACTGTTGTAAAATGGTGAAGAGATTCAAATAGTTGATTGAAAAATGATTGAAGGTACGCGGAGGAAAGCAAATCCGCGAAAATCTACAGATCTAGAGAACTGAAAGGACAGAGATTTTTTTTATTTCTTCAAATTATTCATATTATTAGACGTATAAATATCTATACTCTATATTACAGAAAAAACATTCTCTCTCTCTCTCTCTCTCTCTCTCTCTCTCTCTCTCTCTCTCTCTCTCTCTCTGTATGTGTGTACAAAAATAAAGGCCGGGGGTTATCCCTGGTAACCCCACTCCACCTCTGGATCCGCCAATGAATTCTATTTTGATTATTCATGTACCATAGAATCAAACTCGTTTATTGTGTATAAAATTATGAAAATAAGTTTAAATCAAGTTATATAAGGTCTTTATTTAAAAAAAAAAATAAATAAATAAAGCCATTACACATTATTTATAATGAAAATATTTGATCGTAAAAAGATCCGATCTTTTTCAGAGAGCGTTATGCATTTTTTTTTACCCCCCCCCCCTTAAACGGGAGAATCTCGTCAAAGGATGAATGATTCGTATTGTTGCATGCTATAAAATAAATTTAATGTAATTATGCCATGTCTAAAAATTTTGTTTACATTTACATATACAGACAAGAGTAATATTTATTTTTGAAAAAAAAATGCACTTTTTCAGTCAACCAAAATACCAGTAAGCTTTCCACCTTTGAAATTTCCCCTGACCAAATAGACTATCGTCGTGGACCACGTGTGTCCAAGTGCTATGTGGTGACAATTTTTACTGTTCAGTTAGCAATGGATTACATGAATTCTGAGATGCATATTTCAATAAAAGTAAAATAGGATATTTCTTTCGACATGTGCACATCCCTGTAACGATAGCAGTATTCAGGTAAATATCTTTATCATTGCGTTCGATGCGTATTCTCGACCTGCATGCGTGCATATCCAAACGGCTTTTGCTGTTTTCCGTGTTATTTTTTCTAAATTGCAGCAAATGCATTCAAAAATAATTTACTTCTCAGCATAGTTCTAGTTTTTGTTAACTTTTAAAACATGTATTTGGTCAGTTTATGGATTTTTGACAACTATGCTATCGGAGATGTGTACATGTCGACAGCCAGGCTAGAAAATCACTCAAGTGAAACAAATGCACCAGGCTTTATATAACAGGTACAGGTGGCCAAAAATTTTCAAGTAAATATGGCGGAATCGAAGAAATATGGCGGACAAAGGCGTACAGGAATGTAGTAAGTCGTACAAAGATGAAAATTGATGCCTTTTTAAGAGTTCATGTCAGCTTTAAGTACAATGTTGACATCTCTCAGATAAGAGTATTTTAAAATTGACCAGGGTTTTCACATTAAGTCGCCACTTTTCTCTTTAAAAATTTCCGACCATTAAATGGACACGATTTTTCCCATCTGTTCTAACTATAGGGAGGAGGGGAATAACAAGAACGAAGTATCGTTTTTGAAATTGGAGATGGAGAAGCCAGAGTTGTAACTTTTTTTCCGATTCAGATTTTATAAAGTACCATATAAACGTTTTATTTCATTATACTGTAACAAGCAGCGGAGGAAGGGATAATTAAGATTTTATATAAACATGAACATTTTAAAAATAAAAGTTATTTTTGAAAAAAAGTTTGGGAAGGGAATAAATCACCCATGTCTCCCTGCTCGATACTGCGTGATTGTATAAAGGAAGGTGCATCTGGAAGCGTGGAGTCTCATTTTATTTCATTATATTATACACGTATATATAATAAGTAAATTCACTCTATCAAACCTAAATTTCTAGCCGACTTTTCTAAAAATATCCACATAAATAATACACTCATCTTCCGCAAAATTGTTTTTTTTTATTTATCTTAACAGATGAAGCTGAGGCAGAAAAGGAGATCTACTCGGCTGCAGAATACCAGCTTCGGCAAGTGATGAACGACTTCGTGCGCCTATATGAGCGCCTAAACCCAGAGGACGACCCCTCCACCAAGCCTAGTTATTCTTACAGCGAACTGGTGTTTCTGGCAATCCTACGATCCCCAAACTTTTGTCTGCCCATCGGAGAAATCTACAAATATATCCAGGCCCGCTTTTCCTTCTTCCGGACCTCCAGCAGGCAGCACTGGAAGAATGCCGTCAGACACAGCTTGTCAAAAACCAAGTGTTTCTCCAAAATCTCGGTAGGGCGAGGCGTCGCCGTAACCAAGAAGCTTCATAAGGCAACCTATCTGTGGTGCCTTGTTCCTTCCAGCATTATCAGTTTTGCTCGAGGTGACTATCGACCAACGTCCGACAGGAAAATGGAGTGTGGTTATTACAGCCTCAATGCAGGGCAGTTTTGGGGACAGGTGGCTATCTACTTGGAGAGGAAGTTAGCGGCGTTCAGGAGAATAATTTCCCACAGCAGTCGACCCGGGGAAATTTTTGAAGAACAACTTTGTAAAATACCCAGCAAAGAAGAAATTGTTCAGAGAGAAAACTATTTTGAGAGACAGCATTTGGAACAGGACCGAAACGTCATGTCACTTGACCAACAGGCTGTCGTCTTGGAAGAAAATGTTAACATCAGTCAGACGGCGAAGAAAGAGTCAAACAGCACAGGGGATGAAACGTCAACAAAAGTTCTTAATTTGACCAATAACCGCAATGCCAGCACCAGTGAAAAGGATGACAGTGGTATTGTTTCTGATGTTTTCGTTTCCAACACCAGCGCTGACATCTCGCTTACAGACGCAAACGTGATCGAACACTCCCTCAATCTCCTGCTGAAAAAAGATGGCGATTTGACACAGACGTCATCTCCGGTCACCAGTAGTGTGACGTATCTGGGACAGAGCAGTGATCAGGACGACAGAAGAACGCCAGAGTTACCCGACTTAAGGAATGTCAGTCCCCTGAATTTATCTCCAATTTTATCAACCGATCCTCAGGAAATGCCAGAAGAGTCTTCCAAAATGTCTATGCACGTGGGCTATTCAACACCGCATGGATACAGACTTCCGCCTCCGTATGATCCTGTTATGACGTCACAGCCAATCGCGTATCATCACAATTCACTTTATCCATATCCTGCGTTTGGAGACGAGAATGGTTTCCCTTTCGGATTACCCCCCTTGTATCAGTATGCCCACCATTACGATTCTGGCGGAAACCAAGAATACTGTTTTTAGTGCTAATGAAAACATTTTATTTTACTGGGAAAACAGTGCTTGAATTTTTATATCATTTACTAGAAAATTGTATAGAAATTGTACATTATCACTTTCAAATTTTTATAATTGCCTGATTTATATGTTTTACAAAGATAATGTTTCATTTATTTTGTAAATATTTTAAATGTGTACTTTTTTAATAACTAGAACGAGATTTTCAAGAATAATAAAGTTTTTTTTTTTGCATGAAAACATTTTATTCATTGCACAAAAAGGATCTAAAAACAGGCAAGATATAGTCACCCACTTGGCGCAGTGGTTAAAGCGTCTGCTCTAGAGTCACGAAGTAAGGAGTTGGTCCTTACGTTACATCGCGGGTTCGAATCCCACTGTGGGATTTGGAGACCGGTCCTTCGGATGAGACCGTATAGACCAGGGTCCCATGTCGCAGTAGGTGCTGGCACGAAAAAGATCCCTCCCTGCTCAATGGCCCTGAGTGCCAAGTATAGGACAAAATTTGCAGCTCTCCACCGGCAAGTGGTGGCGTCTCCATATGAGTGAAAAATTCTCGAGAGGGACATTAAACAATATACAATCAACCATAAGATATACTTAGGAGAGAACTATATATGACTATCAAGTAGCGGTATTCAAAATAGATTAGTTCAATAAGAATATATCTAGACTCTAGAGAGAAAGAGATGCATGTAGGTCTTGTTTTGTCGACTTTAACACACAGTACAGGTAGACACCTTCCTGGGAATTTTTGTCTAAAGCTTGGTGAAATATGATTTTTTTAAAGAAAAGATAGGCCTGAACATAGCTCTAGCTGCAACTTCATGGATACTTTGAAAGTGGTTTATGAATATATGTCTCATTAATTTTATTAAGGTCTAGTAAATGAAAGGTGCATACAGATTTATCAAATCTTGGAAATACATTCCTTTACATGTAATGATGCTTTTTACAAATCTTGGAAATAAAAATCATATAAATTTTAACCTTTTAAATGAAAAATTAAGAAAACCATGCTTTATAAGATGCATAGATTGCCTACGGGCCTCTTCTTTAAAATGATATCAAATTTAATATAGGTATTGGGATTACTTTTCATATGATTTCAAATTGAATTTCATGAAAAAACCCTTTTTTCTACATAATTCAATTAGAGCCGTGAAGTACTGGAAAAAGAAAGTTGAAAGTGATTATGACGTATAAATTTGAACTGTCATTTTAAATGAAAAAGTTGCGGGAGAAAACCAGTAATTAATATGTCAGCGCAACTCCTTAAACCGCTGCAAGATCATATAAAGTGAAATGCATATTACCAGGAAATTCCGATTCCATTATTTTTTCAATTTCGGTCTCTCAGTTTGTCACAAAATAATACTTTGTATCTTTAGATGTGCATATTACCAGGCCTCTTCTTTAAAATGATATCAAATTTAATATAGGACTTTGGTATTGGGATTGCACATTTTCATATTTTTCCGATTTCAAATTGAATTTCATGAAAAAACCCTTTTGTTGTACATACATAAACCTTCAATATTTAGGACATATTCCATTATTTTATCCCAAAGAGTTTTGCCAATTATTCAAGAAAATTTCTCACCCCCCCCCCCCAAAATTAATGTTTGAATAATGCCAAGAAATTTTGATTCCATTATTTATCTAGAAACTTCATTCCACATTTAAATGTCCTCATATGCAAGACATTTTGATTTGAAGATTTTTCTGCAATTATTGCCCTTTTTGATCTATATGTATTTAAAGTACACTAGCTGTGCCTTTCATTATGTGTTTCACCGTCAAGTTTTAGGGGAGCGTGGGGTATGTGAGCTAGCTCACTTTTTCTTTCATTTTACTAAATCTTGACCTTAATTCCTTGTACAAACTACAAAAATTTCCCATTTTACATTTAATTTACAGGAAAAAATATATAGTGACTGAATTTAAATTTCAAACAAATTAGATGCACTTTTTTTGATGTATTATGAATTTAATTCTGTTTAAATTATTGGATATCGTAGACAGAAAAAAAACACACCAAAAACTTGCAAATCTTCAATGGTACACTTGTTCATTTATTTTTGATAACATTTAAAAAAAAGAAAACAAATAAAATCTTTGAACAGTAATGAAAAAAATTATTTAACATAATTCTTTACCTATAAATTTTGCCTGGCAGTACATGTATATACACTGAATTGATGCATTGACCAAGACCTAAATATTCTTATTTAAAAGCCAGAACATTTACATATGCCAAGCATGTGTAAAAATGCCAATAAATATATAGTTGTTAAACAAACAGCACTTGTTTACCTATAAAAACTATTATAACATTTATCCCACAACTTCTATGATGAGATTCACTTCATCCAGACTTGTATGTGCTGAGGTTCAACACACATTTTCTATTATTTTCTCTCCCTTAAAAGTTCTCAAGCACTCGTATAAATTCTTAAAACATTTCCTAGAACGTCAACAGTGGGTCTGCTATAATAACATGGTCTCTGGTTTCTCCATGAATTTCTTGAATTCCGCTAACCACTGAGCTCCAACGGCCCCATCCACCACTCTGTGGTCGCAGCTAAGTGTAACCGACATCATATTGGCAGCTCGGTACCTATAATAACAAGTTACCGGTATATTATACGTAATATATGTACCATCTTTGTGCATTGTTAGTCTTCACAAATAAATCAACCAGCTATTATTCCAAAATATATTTGTTAACAGCTTGATAAAATTTATCATGGGGTAGAAACTCCAGAATCTACAACTTCTACTGTTAGTTTGAAAATTAAACAGGGATAGGAATGAATGTTGAACTTCTTCACTTACCCAGAATTGCTATCTTCATCTACAATGAGTCTTTTCTCTGCTCCCCCAACAGCCAAAATACAGGCCTGTTAAAAGTACAAACTCAATTTATGATTGCATGTCAAGACCTTTAAGCACAAGTGAGCTAAAAAAAAGTTTGCAGAAATATCTGTTTCACATTAAGCAGAGATTTTTTTCCAATACTCTATATAATAACTATAAAATTTCCTGGTTGAATTTTGATAAAATGGATTTGTTGAGGTGTTATGGAAGTCCTGAGCTCTTATTTCTGAAGTATTTCACTCTGGATATCTCATATCTTCAGATTTCTCAATTTTTCTTGGTTTCATCGAATCGAAGATAATGAGGTTTGACTATATATGGTATGTCTGTATCTTACCTGAGGAGGGTTTATAACTGCTGATATGATATGTACTGTATCTTATTACCTGAGGAGGGTTTATAACTGCTGATATGATATGTACTGTATCTTATTACCTGAGGAGGGTTTATAACTGCTGATATGATATGTACTGTATCTTGTTACCTGAGGAGGGTTTATAACTGCTGATATGATATGTACTGTATCTTATTACCTGAGGAGGGTTTATAACTGCTGATATGATATGTACTGTATCTTATTACCTGAGGAGGGTTTATATCTGCTGATATGATATGTACTGTATCTTGTTACCTGAGGAGGGTTTATAACTGCTGATATGATATGTACTGTATCTTATTACCTGAGGAGGGTTTATAACTACTGATATGATATGTACTGTATCTTATTACCTGAGGAGGGTTTATAACTGCTGATATGATATGTACTGTATCTTATTACCTGAGGAGGGTTTATAACTGCTGATATGATATGTACTGTATCTTATTACCTGAGGAGGGTTTATAACTGCTGAGAAGGATTTAATTCCAAACATCCCTAAATTGGAAATTGTGAAGGTGCCTCCCTGAAAATGTAAACATCAGACAATACATTAATATAAATGTGTGGGATTTATCATTTATAAAATTTTTATCACATTGTTTTGCCTTAATTTGTAAAATAACTGACCTGAAATTCATGAGGTTGTAACCTTCCTTCTTTTGCTTTGGCAGCTAGTAACTGAACATCTTGATTAATATTTGATAGTCCCTAAAAAAGAGAGACACATATTTATAAATGCCTATCCTCTATCTTCAAAGGAAAGATTTCTTTGAAATACAAATACCTTACATAGTTTCACTTACCTTGATATCAGCTCTGCTAACTATTGGAGTAATTAACCCTGCATCTGTGGCCACCGCGACATTAACATCAACAGAATTGTATCTGAAGTAAAATCACTTAATATATATCTTTTTTTGCCAAAGAATTTACATTTAAATATTACATTTCTAAGGCAATAAGAATGATATAAATTCTATAATAAGACGAAGTAATTTCACTTTGTCTCTTTTGACTTTATAGTACCAAAAAAGAATATAAACAGTAAAAGAGGCATACAGCAAAATACTGGGGACGAACTTCTGATTTAATATTGTAAATCAGATAGTTTTATAAAATGATTTAAACTAAAGGAAATTAAACTCATGTCACTGTAAGCATGAATTTATTACTGTTACCCTGTTTTACTGCATTCCAACTTAAAATTACTCTACTTTATTCTCAATTCAAACATAACAAATATAAAGCATGTATTCAATAGCAATATGGATATAAAATTCTTACTGTCTGATGAAATCTCCCTGCCATGATGAGTTAGCCTCGGGAACTCTCTTACAAGATAATGCTGAGGCTTTGATAATAAAGTCATTTACAGACAACTTAATTTTATCTTTGGAAAGAATATCATTCAGCTCCTTTCTAAGCCTGTAAAAAAAGACAGGGAAAGTTATTCATTTTAAATTCTGCTTAAAAAATAATTATTAACTGAAATACAGAGTATGCAATTTATTGTTTATTTCTTTTAAATAAATACGCCAATTGTCTTTTCATTTAATTCATCAGTTTATTTCAATACAAAACAGGAAAAAGGTGAAATATCAAAGACTTTTCAGAACAGTTAGATGAATAGATAAAATATTAAAGAGGATACAGGGTAAGCTTATTTTAGTTTTGATTGCGAATTAAAGTCTAGTTTACAAATAATGTGCTATCAAAATAGAGTATCAAACACAAACATTTTCTTTTCACTATTATGATGACTTACTGTAGAATTCCGTCCATGTTGACGTCTATAGTTAAGTAGTAGTGTGGAACTGTTTGTTTAGACTCCAGCAATCGTTTAGCTATTGTCTACCAATAAAAATAAAATGTTTATAGTTGTTTTCTAATACAATGTATCTAAGGCACAGATCTGTATATAACTATATGAAATAATTTGTGTTCAAACTTAAAGAATGCCTAACACATCATGTGCCTACCTTTCTCATGCCCGACAGTTCAATATCTGTGTACTCTGCCCCCGGGGCCAAGACAGGTGAGGGTACTGCCGGGGCCTGGAATCTGAGGACGTCCTCTGCCTGAATGACCCCTCCCTGTCCTGTCCCAGGCACCATCTACAATAAATAAAACCAATAATTATATCTGATTCACTACACAGTCACCCATACAATATATTCTTCAATAGGAATTGTAGGATTTCTATGATGTGACATTCTATACATACAAAATACTTAAAAGGAATTTCTATTGTTAAACATGAATTTTCTGTTGTTAAGGATATCTGATCCTCAGCCAGGAAGGATAACTCCAAAAATTTATATTTATAAATTTGAAATGTCTCAAAATGAGGCTTGAAAGGGAATTATTTTCATGCAACAATTTTCATTTTATTCATCTTTATAAGATTCAAGGTCTTTGGAAGTCTTAGAAAAGATATTATAAAAGTTGACATTTTTACCCTACCAAAGGAGAAAAAATTAATACAGTTTTAGAGAAATAAGATTTTCTTGAATCCAGCCTTAGATACCAATGCTTATTAGCATGATATGAAATGAGAAGTAATCGTTGGTGTCTTGCAATGATATCAAAAGCCTTTTACATTATATATTATAGAATATATGACAGAAAAAGAAGACAAAAAATACCAAATAAGTGTAAAATTCATGACAATTTTTCTGAATGCCTAGATACCTATTGTTTTTTAACCTAAAATATATTAGTTGATAAATGTGCAATTAAAAAATGAATTGCATATATTCCAATTCGCTTTTTCTGCAAAAATATTGGAGATTTGACAACTTTCCCTATATAATATGATTAACTTTAATCTATAACTTTAAAGAAATATTGTGGATAAATTTACATAACTTTGTGAATTCAGAGATACTTTAATGAGCATTTTTGATTAGTTGACTGTTAATTTTATAAACTTGAGGATCGGACTACCTTAACTTAGTATCATAAATTGTAAAAAGTTGATGAATAGATTAATCATAACGTACTTCTACTTCTTTATATAACAAACAACAGAAAATATAACGTAAATGAATTCTTACAGAAAGATCCATTCCTCGCTCTGCCGCTAGCTTCTTGGCGTAAGGTGTGGCTGGGACTCCACCACCTGCTGCAGGTTGTGGTGCTGCTGCCACGGGTGGTGGTGGTGTTACTGGAGCCGCTGCCACAGGTGGTGGAGGTGGTGCTGTTACCTTGGGGGGAGGAGGGGGTGGGGCTGCCTTTGGAGGGGGTGGAGGGGGTGGTGGGGGTGCTGATGCTGGCTTTGAACCACCTGGTGGTTGGTCATCTTCCGGTTTGGGAACATAGTCCTTAAATGCTGCAATATCTCCCTCCTCTTCCACGATTATACACAATAGCTGAAAGTAATGGGCACATGTTGACTGATGTCATTCCTTACATACATAAAAATTATCTCTACAACAAAAATGTGTCTGACATCATATTTCTGTATTTTGTTAATTTATACAAAATAATCAGCATAAAAGACTTTGACTCTGTTGTTCATTTGCCTGCTTTACAACATGAGAGCAGATACGTGCTTGTTCATTTAAGGGAGAAGTTTCTTCCCATGTGGTTAGCAAAAATAACCCAATATATAAATTTCCATATCTATATGATGTAGCAAAGATATAATTGGTGAAAGATTTTTTTTTCCTCAAACAAAAACTTATTTTTAAATGTCTACCTTTCCTATGGGGATATCTTTAGTTCCCTCTTCCACAAATATCCTGGCGATGTAGCCCTCCTCTGATGCTTCGAAGCCCATGGTGGCCTTGTCTGTCTCAATGTCAGCGAGGAGGTCCCCCTCAGATACCTTGTCCCCCTCCTTCTTCTGCCACTTACTGATCGTCCCTGTCTCCATGGTGGGCGACAACGCAGGGAGGACAACTTTTGAATGGGTGGGTAGGACAACATTATTTATGAATGGGTTACCTGGTATTTATCATGTTTACTTAATACACAGAGTCCACTAATTATCAAATAAAAATGAATTTATACAACACAGAACATTATTTATGTAAAGTGTAAATTCTAAGAAAATAATCAAATTAAATAAGTGGTTTTAAAGTCTTTGATTTTTCCATGTGAAGTACAAAATAAAATTTTACATGTTTACTTAATAATAAATATTGACAGAATGGATTTCTTCATATCATTTCCTTGGCATGAAAAGGCAATTAAGAATAATATAACTTGGTAAAATTTTGGGCATGTAAATATTCCTTCGGGCTAACATTATTGATGATCACACCTGCCCGAAGGGCATGTGTTTAAAAAAAGATTTGTCAAAGACTGTCAACAACATTCCAATATAAAGTCATATAAAAATTCAGACAAAATTATTAAAAAGAAAATATACTGGTATTCATAAAAATTAGTTAGAAGGTAAACAGCATTTTACATGGCAGATTTAATAAGGGACCATATGACAAAAGAGAAAACAGTAAATTTTCCATTTAAAATTGAAGAAACTGAGAGAAAACTTCTAGATATTTGGATCTTTTTATTTGAGATACATCTGTATTGAAGATAAATTAAATAAAGAAAATGTGATTGGGACTTCAGACTGACTTTGACAAGCCCAGGACTTTTTGAGATATTGAATGAAGGTTAAGGTACCACTGCTCAACACTCCATTACCTGCAGAACTGTAGTATCTGTTGAAGACATTGCTCTCTGACACTCTCAAAAGATTACTTCCTTTTGAAATTTGTGGATATCCTTTAAATCTCCTGAAAAAATATGTAAAACATTCCCTGTTATAGTTTAAAATGTCTTTTTACTATGGTGTGAATTCTACAGACTACAAGAGCATTACATGACTTGCTACACCACAGAAATGTACAGAGATTTCAAGCTTTGTACGAATATGATATACTTATTTGATAAAAGATTAGGACAATATTGTGTCTAATGTTTGGAGAAAACTTGACTTGTACCAAGAACTTTTGATAATGTCATTAAATATAAACATATTTCTCACATTCTTTAAAATGTGTTTTAATATCTATTTCAGGAAAGTTTTCTTCCTTCATGTCCTTTGCTTTGTATTTATTTGTTATCATCATTTTAACTAGTAACTGTCAAGGTGGCCACTTTATTTGACATGGTGTCAGATAGGGAGTATCTCGATCTGCACCCCTACTCCCAAGTTTTCATTTCAGTTTTGCTTTCTGTCCCTGACAATATGACCATTTCCAACTTAGTTTGGACTTTCAGTAAGGCTTGGCATTCTTGACGTTACTTAATTAGCTTCTGAAATTTACACAGCTTTCCTTCACTGTTTAAATATACATAGGATAGAAATTCAGGCAAATGCCAATTAGTGTATCAAATAACCAATTACATTGTTTCCTCCTGTACAGAGGTGGGGCTTAATTTGTCTCATCATTATCAACAACAATTTAAAGTTCCTGATGTTATCAATTTCTTAACCAATGAGAATGTATTCGCCATTTGTCCATTGTTTAGAAGATTGATCCCTCAGAAGTTCCGTAACTTCTTGGGGATCAATCTAACAAACGGTAGGGTTGCAGAAAAACTTGTCAACCAAAAGTTATTCCTTTTTAAGTGCCCTGATGCGGATTTATGATTTTTATTGCCAAAATAAAAATTTTCAATTTTTGCACTGTAAATTTATAGCCAATTTGGGATATCATATCCCAAACGGACTATTATATCCAATTTGGGCGATTGGTCCCGACCTGTATATAGCTTAATCAAGAGATTGTGCTGGACCTGAGTGCGTCACTTTGAAAGAACCCACATAACCCACTCTAGCCCTAGATATTCAGCATTATCTAGGTTAGTCCTACCTGGGATAATAGCAAGCTTCACTGGTGTACATTGAAATGTATATTATAAATTATAATGGGAAATACATCTTGCTTCGACTTCGAGAGGAATTAAAAGTTTGGAGCCTAGATTAGCTGAAACAAAGGGGCCGGGGAACAAGAACTTCAAAAGCTCACATTTCGAGCCACCATGAGTCAACTGTACTATAAATCAAATTATTTATGTAAAGAAGTGTAGACCTTTGCAGACAATTCGTTATTTATCAACATGGTACATATGTTATGCTGAGTGATGTCACGTTTACCTTGATGCACTGGCAGCGCTGGCGGATTTTGTAGTGGCTAATCTCAGAGATAAAGAATTCGTCTTTTTGCACTTGGATAACACCCTCGCCAGACTTTGTGGCCGCAGCATGACGAGTTTGTCCTGCCGATCGTCAAATTACAGGTCCCAATGTCACCGGAAGTTGTCTTGATCTATTATTGGCCTCTATATTTTCGTATTCGTGGTTTTCTTTTTTTAAAAAAAAAATATCGCCTCATATCATCCGCCCATACCTAATATTTATTATTATTGTCATTATTAAGCGCATAATTATCTAAAAATATGTCATTAAAGCTGATATACGAAAATACCGACAGAAATGTATCCATGGTCACGAATAAATTAATGGCGGCCTCCATGTATTGAGAGAAGAATTTGTAAACATTACAGAATGCCAGCTGGTGTGTATTTACTGCTTTTTTAACATTATCCATTGAATAAATTTACACTGCTTATTGTTCTTAAGCATATTTATTGATGGTTTAAAGCTAGAAATCTCATCGTAACAGAGGTTCATTGTTCATTTTAAGTCATAATTGCATTACAGAAAATTTAACTGGTAAGATTGGATTATTCAATACGCTATGGGATAATTGGTCGTTGAAGCTTATAAAAGCGTTAACAGCAATTTCTTTTATTTAGCATTATTACGAGTAACATTTTGATTAATACATTTATGCTTTAAAATGTATGCTTATAGTTTTTAAATGACTTTTAGTCTTTTATCGGTATATACTAAAAAAAAAAATGAATGAATTATTTTTATCTGTTTAAGTTTCAAAAGGGTATGTATGGCACACCAAATTCACAAAAATGAGCAAAACATAGTTTCACAGTCGATAAACTAGGTTTATCGGTTGTAAATTTATAGTTTACGTTGTAAACTATAGTTAACATATATATATCTATATTTTACATCTGTAAACCATAGTTAACGCGATAATCGATGTTTCACAACCGTAAACTATACTGAACCGAAAACAATCATTTGCGATTGCAAAACATAGATTATCTGATAAATACAGTTTCACGATTTGTAAACTACAGTTTACAAACCGTTAACTATAGTTAACGATCTGATAAATATAGTTTCACGATTTGTGAAACTATGATTAACAACTCTTAACTATAGTTTAAGATTTTAAAATATAGTTTACAAACGTGAATCAATGTTTATCAACAAAATCTATTGTTAACACTTATTAACACACAGATAAACTTAGATTAGCATTCGTAAACTATCGTTAACGACCGTTAAATATAGTATAACAGATGAACACTATACTAAACAAACGTTAACTATAGTTTACGGTTTGTAAACTATAGTTTACAGTCGATAAACCTAGTTTATCAATTGTGAAACTAGGTTTAGCTCATTTTTGTGAATTTGGCGTGCCATAGGTATGTGTACATGTTTGTGATGTTACGTAATGGTGAACTAAAAATCTGCCTACAATACATTGTATTGAAAAGCTTTCATCTATATGATTCCAGGCGATTTTAAATTTACTCAAGTTTACAGTTTATAAGTGATACATATATATACATATATCTTTACATGGTATAACTGGAGAGATTAATTTTTGCAGCAGATGAAACTCATTTGAAACAAGGAACTAAGGCTGTGACCTTTGACCTTAATCCACGGCCTGGTATTGTTATATACAATGTTGATATGGTGTATTTTCGGTGTTGCTATTCTATGGTGATTGTTTATATGGTCTGACCCACCTGCATCTATAAAAAATTCTCAGTCACAAGCTTTATCTCTTAATATGATCACGATGGTCAATAAATTAAACACATTGCACCCATATTACTGATGATTGCACATTTATAGATATGACCATGTATGTATCTGTAACAGTACCAAAATCCATGACAGAGAGAAATATAGAGGGCTATTTGTTGATTAAGTTGGAGAACAATTTATCAAAGATATCTTTTTTTCTATTATTAACTTAAATTAACACACTAGTTATCTAAATGCTTGAATTAATGTAGAATTTTCGTATTATTGACAGAATTAAAATAATCTGAAGAGATAGCAATAGTCGATAACAAATGTCTACCTTTTTATGAGTACATGCTGTAGATAGTAGTATCTATAATTTCTTACAGAGACCGTAGACAGTGATCAAAGTGGTAAGGGGTTTGGTTTTCGTTGTGACGGAAATTATGGAAAATATATAGCACTATAGTGATTAGAAAATTAAGGGGCCGTTGGATATATTGATTGCTTTCTAGCTATAGTAGTGCAACTAATAAAACAAATACATACACGACTGATGGTGATGTTTTTGGTCTCTGCTTTATTATCAAGGAAATTATTGCAGTACAATATTTTTTATGATAAACCAGGAAAACCATTAACCTGTAAAGGTAAAATTACCAAAAACAGAGCGCTCATCTCTGAGAAGAAGAGTTGGTGCAAAGCTTCTGTTCAATAGTCATTCCTTCCACAGCTTCAGATCCTAAGAAAAATGCAACTGCTTTATGTTGTGGCATTGTGGGTGTGTTGTAAATATAATGGCTGATGTATTGATTAAGCAAACCATTGAGGGAGTTCAATTAATAGAGAACATAAATTTATAGTCTTTTTAATTAGAAACCGAAGGAAATCGATAATCTATTAATCCATGTAAGTTTCTAATCTTTTTTGCACAATAATAAAAAATCTTTTATGTGCACATATACCAAAATATTATCTTGCAGCAAACAGAAAAAATGCCTAGATCGAGCTCAACAAAAATGAAAATTTATGATTTGTCTAAATGTTACAGACAAAAAAGATAAAAAGAATAAGGAAGAAGTGCCAGCTCCACCTACCAAGGGCGTCTACATCTTCCCCAACGGAGACAAATACGGTAAGTAGGGTTGTGCTATCTACATCTTCCCAAACGGAGACAAATACGGTAAGTAGGGTTGTGCTATCTACATCTTCCCAAACGGAGACAAATACGGTAAGTAGGGTTGTGCTATCTACATCTTCCCAAACGGAGACAAATACGGTAAGTAGGGTTGTGCTATCTACATCTTCTCTAAAGGGGTTGTGCGGAGACAAATACGGAAACAGAGTAAGATATATATATAGGAGGTAGGGTTGTGCTATTGCCAATTTTTACATCACCGTCAATTGGTGGAGACCCATCATAAGTGAAATATTCTAGAAGTAACGTTAATCAAGCAAGCAGCCAAGGATGCTTTCGTCTCCCAAACACTTTTATCTACTGAAAAAAGAGTGTGATTAAAATGGGTAGTAAAACCCGGGATGAGCCGGGAATTTAGAAACTAAAAACTGTGTTTTCGATAGTCACTGAAAAATGCCCCACAGAAGCAATATAAAACTTTCATATTACATACTGCCAGAATAAGTGATGATTTGCTTCTAAGCAATATCAAACTTACATATTACATTTAGCCAGAATAAGTGATGATCTGTTTTAAGCAATTAATTTTCCTTTCTAAACCACAGTACCATACCTAAGCCCCATTTGTAAAGATGTCTTTAATCAGTTGCCTTTTCCAAAATAGATGGAGAATACCAGCATGGCAGTGACGGATCACTAGAGCGGAACGGTCACGGTGTCCACACGACAACAGACGGGACGGTGTACGAGGGAGAGTGGAAGGGGGACAAGATGAACGGAAAGGGGAAACTGACCCACCCCTCCGGGGCAGTGTACGAGGGGGACTTTGTCAATAATCAATTTCATGGTCAGGGAAAATATACCTGGAAAAATCACTCATTTTATGAAGGACAGTTCAATGAAAATAAGTAAGATTCCACGCGTAGAATTTTTCTTCTTATCAAATCATTTACTAAAGTAATTAACATTTAACAAAATAATTCAAGAGTTAAACTGATTTATCTTTGAATTAAAAACATGACGTTGCAACACATCTACCAAAATATTTTCGGTAAAGTTTTTCATGCCGTGCTATTTATTGGAAATTCCTTACTTTACTTAATAAAGTTTCTTAAAATTGTATTCCATTTAATTCAGGATGGAAGGCACAGGGCAATTTACGGACACCGAGGGCCAAATGTGGACGGGTACTTTCCGATATAAAGCCGCTCCAGGGTTACGGTTTGAACTTAAGATGGATTAAAAAAACAACGAAGACTATGCTGGAGTAATATACATTTAATGACTGTATGTTTTCATTATGATCACATGTAAATATTTCATGAATGGTTGTGACTACTTTGTATTGCGTATTTATGGATAATAAATATTATTCGTAAAAAGAATGGCTTTAGACGTTAATGGTAAGCTAATTACTTTATGATAAATTTGATAACTGTATTTAATTTTTTCATCAACTTCCCTTACTTATGTAGTAATATAATCCTATCATCTGCATACAGGGTTTATTCGATAATTGAAAGCATGCTTTACGTAAAACCAATTTTTTAAAGATGAGACAAGCTATTGGCAAAGAACCTGATGAGTCAAGGATGTTAAAAGTTTCATTTAAAGTAATTATTTTGCAAGTTTTATGGTCGATAAAATGACCTTGTCAGCAAATACAATTTATCATTTAGTCGAATGCTGACCATTATTTACCTACTGGATTTTCCCGTTTTCCCGATTATGCCAAGAACACAAGGGGGTGTGACCGGTCGACAGGGGATGCTTATTCCTATATGACACCTGATCTCACCTCTGATGTTTCGGAGGTCCGTGTTTGCTCTGCTCCCGAATTGTTTTTGAGCTTTAATACTGTTCATTATCTACATATTTCATTTGAAGAGTGTTTAATATTTATAGTAAATGTATAAAACAATACTAGTATACACGTACATGTACATGAATACAGCAACATCACACATCTCAAGAATTTTAGAAAAAGAACAAAATCGAATTTCAAAGGAAATGAAAACATAATAAAAACAATGATTTTTAATTGTAACCAGCCGCTACGTTTGTAATAGAGTGATTTTATGACGCGATGATTAAAAAAGTTCATTGTGTTGAATGAAGGAAGGAGCCCAGCACGTGACTGGATTATTGTCCTGAGTGGTGACCTTATGATTGACCCCTCAGGCTGTGGGTAGATCCTCCGTGGCCTCCTCCGTCAGTCCACACAGTCTCCGGAACACCTGACCCTCCTGTCTTAGCCACTTGTTACTCACTGTCAAATACAACAGCAAAATGGCCTGTCTTATTCAGAGGTTTCAAATATCTTACAATTCTCATGCCTCCCAAAATTTTTATTATTGAGAATACAATGGCCCTTCAATCTCCTTCCTTTGCAAGTTTTTAGTTTTCTGCTTATTTATCCTAAATAATTTAATTTCACTCTAGAAGTGTTACAATTTGTGGAGATAACAATACCCCATTTGGACCCGATTAAGACGGGACAACCGGCATGTAGAGTTCGGGGGTCCTCGGCTCCACTCAGTTTTAAATTATACCAAAAAGCAGCGCCTCCCTGTAGCAATGTTAAAGACTGTAGTTATCAATCAATGGTACTATTTTCAATGGTACCCTTTTTCATAAACTTTCTTTCATACGTATACATGTATTCATTTGTGGTACCTTAGCGACGGGTATCCTCGCTTTGACTTCCGGGAACACTGTAGCACCACCAGCTTTTACGTCATTTAGCTGTTCAAACAAGAAAATCATGAAAATCCAGTACAAAAAGTTAAATAACACAATGTACTTAACACCAACAGTCTTCAGTCTGGTATGCAAAGTATTTTTCTTTGGTTTCTTTTTGAAGAAAAAGAAATAAAACTAAAGTGGAATTGAAAAAATAGCATGGTAAAACACAACTAATAAAATCAACTTCAACTATGTTGATAAGTATGATACTTACATAAAACATCCATGTTGCTATTCGATCCCCAGAATAGCGAAGGTCCTCCGAATCCAAAATATTGACAGGTGCCCCTAGCGGATACCTCTGTAACAAATTATACAGTATATCTTTTAAGATAGCTTAAAAATTAATGTTAATTTTTTATACAATGATAATAATATATTCAATTTTTAGTCCCTAATTAAACGAATTAAATCATACAATTTACAAGACGAAACGCTTTCTCCAGTCTAACATACAGTTTTGGCTACTAGTATAATATTTTCAAACATTTTCCAGGAATTCGTAATTTATTTTTGAAGTTAGTGGATCTTATGTACATTAATAGATAATATAAGGAACTTACCATATAATCATGATGAACCGTATACATGCCACCAACTCCGTAGTTCAGCACCTACAATTGTGTGTTTTACATTAAGTTACAAAAACCCTAGAATCTTGGACCGACTTAAAATTGGCTTTATTGTAGATCCAGCATTTCTACTTTTTATTCAAAAGAAAGACCTGGAATTTTTCCGAGTGACTGTAGAATGGTTTATAGGTTGCACTCAGTCCTGTTATAAGTTTTATCCTATTTTCCAATCTAACAAGCTCTCTGTGTTCGTCTGTGCCAATCCAGCATCTAAAAAACAGTACCTAACTTGAACACGAAGCAAACAATGGAAATAAAGCTAAAAAAATCGACAAAATCCATCCTCAGAAGGTCAGATGTCACGAGTTCACAAGGTCAGAGGTCATGAGGTCAGGGATCACAAGTCCACTTGGTCAGGGGTCACGAGTGCACCAGCTTGTGCGTGACCTTGTAAGGATAGACAAATTCAGTTGAACAAGTCACTTGGAGACTTACGTTTGGCTAACCCTGACGTCATCCATCTGACCGTAGCGTGTCTCCCCGTTAGGTCCACTTCCCTCTAAGAATACCGTGGATCTAGAGAACTAAAAACAAAGTATATTGTAGTTGTAAGAGATATGTCTATAAAATATGGAAGATATGAAATTTGAAATACAGTGTACATGTAACTATAAATTATCATATTAAAGTAACCTCTAGTATAGTCTAAGCAATATATTGAAAGAAATCGAAAAATGAAATATCTATAACAGGGGTACCGAAAAACACACGAAAAAACATACCCCTTTTAAGGCAATGGATTTTAAAATATTTATGTAGTCAGGTGAGATAACATCATGAAAGAGAGAAATTCTTGGTTCGTAATTCACAACTTCCTCTTTTCCTCTGTAATATGGCACCAGGGTTTCCCGCCAAAAGCAGCGGAGTCGGGACAGTTCCTGGGGAGTCTACAAAATGCTCTGAGATCCTAATTTAATATTCTGTATACACCTAAAAAGCTACAGAAATGATGCTTTTTAATTACAAATGATCGAAACAGTTAAAAGTTAACTTTACTTTTTGATCTTCCCGGCAGAGGGCCTCGTACATCGGGTCACGTGGTTTTGGTTCTGTAACTGATCCGTTGTTGTTTGTTATACTGGATTGATAAAATGCGGTGTCCCTCAAAATACCACGGTTACCTAGACATATCAATGTTGAAGGACTATGATGGGAAATCATCAGTAATATTTCACAGAACTTACATGAAGTATACCATTGTTTTGCGAGCTTACTAGTATTTGTTTTAATTAAGAATGGAACAATGTTGCTAATCCCCAAACAACCTTACCCAAACTTTGAAATGGCTCCAACACAAGAGATGCATTCTTGGACAGCCCTAGCTACAAAGGAAAGGTATTTGCAAAATTATGGATGTAGAAGGTTTTCCCCTTTAAAAAAGGTTGGAATTTTAATGAAACATTTATGAATTAAAAACATACCTAAGTATCGTAGAATTTATTGCAACAGTATACATTGTTTTTCTTGAAAATATTTATATATTTTTATTTAAAACCCTTGCAGAAGTATGCTTTATAAAAATCCAGTCACAAATTGTGTATAAAAATTTTATTAACTTTATAAAGAGATGCAGCAAGTGCCCGAGCGACACGAATGACTCCCGAGTCATTTTTTGAGAACCCGTCCTGTCCCTGTAATCGTCTGTATAAAGCGCCAAGCCACTTCATCTCAGAATAGTCGTCCTTGACCCGGTCAGTGTACCGGGTCACGGCCAGTACCTCGTCGTCTGACATCGGCTGGTCAGCAGTGTAGTTCACCACCCTGCCATTGATCAAGTCGTCCAGATTGAGTTTGTACACTTTCCAAAGACGAAGAAGGGCGTGCGAGGCGCCATCAAGGTCATACTTAGAGGGCCACAGTCCGAGGCGCTTAGTTACAAGTTGAACAGTAAAATTAAAATCTGAAACAAAAGGGTAAATATTCGATTTTTATTCTGTGTGTCGATTAACAAACCATTTAAATTTTTATTTTCGTTAGAATTTATATGTGTATCTATATAAGATAATTTCACTTTCTCAAGTGAGTACCTTTGGCGGCATCAGTCACTTCGCAGTGCTCACACCAAATATCATCGAATACGGTCTGCCAGTCCACCACAAATCGATACAAGAGATGAAAGTCATTGACAGGGTGTTCGATATACCGGGTGCTGTCTCCAATAGTCTGTCGCTTGATTTTAAGAGACTCTGAAAATCTTCAAAAAGGACAAATGTGCAACAGGTGTCTGCATTATGAACTAATGAATGAGAGTATATCATCAGGCTCCGTAATTTATGCCATCTTGTTTATTAAAGAAGTTTATTTATCAAACAGCTGAGGGTGATAATTTAATGAAACGTAAATCATGAGTCTGAATAAAGCTGCTTTGACATTCGGTCAATTAAAACATGCAGAATATCTAACTATCGACTGTCGTCATCAATATTGAACGTGGTATGCAAGCAGCATGTAATATCGTCCCGAGACCGGGCTAATGTAAAGTTGACGAACTTGTACATCATATCTAAGTTTGAATATAGATCCTTTGATATTTGCCTCAACTGAATACGACGCAGCTTTTATAGATCATATCAATACATGTAGATAGATCTCGTATCAGCCCGAGGTTTCTTTCGTTCATATGCATTTTGTAAAATAGTTATGACTTAATACATGTAAGTATAAAGCTAGTATTTAACTGTGCGTATTGTCTTGAAATGGATAGAGACCTTATTAAATTGTCTATGACCTAAAGATATATACATGTATATACACACTGTAATTCACGTCTCAAGACATCGAGCATGAACATTGTTGTCCATAATTGAAACCCTATACCAGTATATAAAAGTTCTGCAAATTCTTCTCCAAGATATTTAAGTAAAGTAAACGTATATCCCCAGAACCAAACTCCGAAGAAATTTAAGAAAAGCTGAAATCTCTATTTTTTCCCTACACATGTATTATTAATATCATGCAACAGCACTTGAAACGCGAAAAAACACGATTATGATTTTTTTTCAACAATTTATAAAACCATTCCTCGCCCTTAATAAACTTATGCATTTAGATATCATAGACAAGTCCTTTAAAAATTGGAAAACTTTAATATCTTGTATTTGACCATCTGTAAAATAATTAATTCAGATCCAATCTGATTTTACACACAAGGATGACGACATCCAATTTTTAAAAAAACGCAGTTTCTCAGTAACAGTATGTTTATAGTCTTACAAACTGATGGAATTTCGAACGGCGCTAATTGTGCTCCTTTCTTAAAAAAACTTTCTTTTTATTATTCTTGTAAAGCACATTAGAAGAGAAAGAAATATTGCAGCCTTCATTTTATATACATTAATATCGGCGCCTTTTCATCGGTGGACGACAATAGGATCTCAAATAATTTATTAAGCCTTGCATCATCAAATAAAGATTCTTTTTGAAAACACAAAATGAAACCACATTTCTTATAAGATTTAATGTTGTGATATTCATTTTTTTCCCATTTAAATCATTCACTGTAAGGTAAAGTGATTTTGCGACAGATACTTTGCATGTTGACGTTGACATTTAGAGTGTTTAGTACAAAGTTTAATTCATACCTGAATGAGATTTATCTGGCCTTAGGGTGAAAATGTTTTAATCAAGTTTTATTAAAACTAATAATACTTAGAATATATCGAAATAGAACTAAATGAAATTAATTTACGATTCAGTGTTCTCTCTCTCTCCATATAAAGATGATAGATAAAAAATCTCCCGCAAAATCTAAAACATATATTCCCCGTGAATGACGAAAAATTTTTGCAATTATACGTTACTGTGGGGCGATTCTTCTTTAAGTGCTGCTGAAAATGAATATCTTTTTTCCATTGTCCATTCATATATTCAGCAGTCTGGCAGATTTAAATGATATTTTGTGCATGATTTTGTATAGCATTAGTACATCACATACGTCCTTGCAGTTTATTATTAAACATGTTGTGAATTTATTAATATTTTTCTAAAACTGTGTAACACATATGTAGCTTAAACTTTATAAACTTTCCTTGTAGGGAGAGGGCGAAATAAGTTTTGAGAACTTGTGCCCAATCCCATTGTATAGGTATATTACAATAAAATATGATAATGTTCAATTCAAATTTTTGCATATAAATGTGATATAAGAAAGCTAAGGAAGGCCGACTCTTGCTATCATCTTGATTATCTTTCAGATGAATTTATCGATAAAGACCGTTACCTTTACTGTTCGATATTTCTTATAAAAGAAATTAATAGCCTCCTTGCACGACATATTTTCCCCGCCGTTATTGATGTTAAGTTATGTAAAACAATTCACAAAAGATACAGAGGTGCCAGATGTCCGTCAGGTTGACGAGAAAACCATGTCTGACATGTAAAGAAAATCAAATCGCATCTTAGTGAGACTGTCATATGTTCTCATTGGCGTCGGAAGCAAATTGAACCGGGGAGGGGGGGGGGGGCTAATTGAAAGAGTAGAACATTCAATCTTTAAAAAATGAAGCAAAAAAAAAAAAAGAAGAAAAAAGTAAATTCTCCAAATGTGAACATTTCGTGTGCGAGTGTGTTTTTGGAGGGGGAGGGGGTCAAACGTCTTTCAGTAACTTTTTTCTCACATCCTACCGCTTACCCTTCTTTGACTACACTGAAACCTCTGCCTCTTAAAACAAGGGGGCTAAATCTTTGCCAAAATGTTCAATGTCTGTATTATGTCTATCTGTGCAAAAAAATGGGGGGGGGGGCTAACCCTCATAATTTTCCTTATGCCAATATCTTTCTTTGGGTACCATCATTTTTTATCTTTTGACTTTGACCTTGAAGTTTGACCTACATTTGAGTAACTTTAACCTTCGCCATGATCAAGCTGTCATGCAGGCCCGAGGGACATCAGTGATGCACAAAATTCGTCTTGTTAGTGCTGTTTACTTTTATACTTTTTCTTCACATTGCTGGAAGCAGCATTGCAATTACAATGAAAATTGTGAAATTAAAAATCTATAAATAAATTGCTGAGCTTAAAATGTCTTAAATATCTTAAACACACGTTGGAGGAAAATCTAGAAATTTTAAACAAAAACACTTGTATATACAAAGAAAAGAAGCGATCGAATTTCCGGAAACAAATGAGTATCTTAGCTTTAGTTGATGATCATTTGTTTCTAATACAAGCAAATAGCGTCATGGCTTTATGAAACATTTTCCAAAAAAGAGCATAATTGTTGAAAAATATGAAAAGAGAAAAACAACAGGGCAAATGGACCACATCTCTCACTTAAGTTTTGTGGCTAGGAAAAGCAAAAATCAATCCCGTATTGAAAATCTTGTATGCATAATTGGTCCCTAGTACCTATCCCTAAAAAATGGGGGGGGGGGTTATAATTTAAATTAACTTGAATCTTCACTGTCTTAGAATGCGTACACATTTCTTTAACTTACTGTGGCTTTTTCCCTATAAGTTTGAACTTTCATTTTGGTCCCACTCTATTCCATGGGACCATGATTTGTACAAATTTGAATCTACACTACCTGAGGATGTTTCCATATAAATATGACCAAACATCAGGACTTTGTTGTTCTTGAGAAGAAGATTTTAAAAGATTTTTTTCTATATAATCCTATGTAAACCTTTGTGGTCCCACCCTTCTCCCCGTGGTGATGATTTGAACAAACTTGAAGCTTAACTACCAGAGGATGTTTCCACATTAGTTTCATTTTTTCCTGGCCCAGTGGTTCTTGAGAAGCCACCAAATTTTCACTATTTCTTAATTATCTCCCCTTGACAGAGAGTGTGACCCTTCATTTGAACCAATTTAAATTGAATCCTCTTCAATCATGTCTTGTGGCAAGTTTGGTTGAAATTGACCCAGTGGTTTTAGAGAAGAAGTAAAAAAAATGTAAAAAGTTAACAGACGGACGGACAGACAGACGGACTACATACAAATTGTGATCAGAAAAGCTCACAACAGCTTTCAGCTCAGGTGAGCTAAAATTATGATTAACCACTCCATTTAGTAAGGTAATTCTGGGGAAAATGGTTTGAATAGCTTGGAAGACTATTAAAGTTTCTGAAAAGTATAGACAGAGGTATTACACATTGCCTCTACTCCTACCGAATTTGAGCGTCTCCTTCTGTAGTCCAGTGAAGAAATTTATAATACCGACAAGTTTACGGGTCGATATAGAATGAAAATCTCAACAGGTGAACAGGTGTTAAAAATAAATTCCTACCTGGTGATCCCCGGGGGAAGGGTTTGTCCAGTTTCCTCAATGCTGCTGATGTACCTGTTTAAACTGATCTGTAATTTTTCCTCCTCTCGAAGTAAGTCCTGTAATTTACAGATGGCACTAAAGAGATCGGTCTGAGCGCAGGTCCACAGGCTGATTACTAAAATAGCCCTGAACATGGCAGTGGCTCCTTTTCTATATCACGGTCCACGTAAGAGGGCCGTATAGAGACGCGACAGAGAACACATGCTGCAGATTATAGAAATCAGCGGAGGTTGTCGATTAAATTCGGCCCACCGACTTTAACTTACAGTATTCTGAATCAGATAAATTTGAAAATGTGTTGTTTTTATTTTATACTTTAATTTGTATATAATACATATACTATCATGTTCCCAATTAACTTAATTAAAATCAATTTTGACCACCCCCCTTGTCATTGGGATTAATGAAGAACATATATATATATATATATATATATATATATATATATATATATATATATATATATATATATATATATATATATATATATATATATATATATATATATATATATATATATATATATATATATATATATATATATATAGTCAGTGAGCTATTCCGTGATGAAACACATCTTTGAAGTGGAAATGTTTTCAAGATTGTTTGTTGTGTCTTAAATAGAACATTTCCCTTAGTTTTGTTTCCGCCTAGATTGTGATCTATTTTTGCGATTTAAAGTTGATATAATAATATATTTATAAAATGGTCTGTGTGTGTGTGGGTGGGGGTGGGGGGTTAAAGCAATACCCGGTATACCTACTTATAAGTCCTATAATAAATGCATGCTTTTTGAGTTTGAGAGTGCATGAGCAGTAAATCATGAAATCTGATTATTAACTGGACGTCAAAATCCCGTTTATTACGAGATACTGATCTTTTAAACATCAGTCTAAGAGACTGAAGAATATTAGATCCTGATTCACGAGACTTTTCATGAAGTTTTCCCTGCATCCATTACCATCTAGTAGTAAGATAACAATGTCAGATTATTCTCCGTGAACTTCTATAGTATTTCTAGGGCACCGTATTTTTTGACATATTTACGATACCTTTTATTTATTAAGCTGTATTTGTTGATGTTTATTCGTTGCCTTCACCTTTTATTTTCTTCCATTTATTCAAAACATAGTCCGTTTAGCACAATTAGACGAATGGCGGAATTGTTTTTTACCGAGTACATTTTGAAAAGAGGCACATGTATTGTAGTTTATTAAAAACCTCTTAAGTTCATCTGAACACAGCTATTGGTATTTGTTCCAACAGAGTCATCTTATTATACATATTATATAGACATCTATAGAGCAGATAAAAGTCAGTGTTATTTGGAGGCGGGGTTGGGGGGTTGGGTGGTATAACCTAAAATTTTTAGATTGGCTTGATACTACTAAACAAGAATTCCTTGACAACAAAAAATTATATAATTATTAGGGATGTCCTTTTGACAACAAAAAAATTATATAATTATATAAGTATTCAGGCAAATGCGAAAAATTATGACAAGCATAAAGTATTTTATGTCACAGTGTTTTGTTTAAAAACTAATCTGTTCGGTTATTGTAATGATAAGTTAATACATAATTGACAATTTTTGATCCTAGATTTCATAAAATTACGTATATGTTGTAGTTTGGAGCAACAATGGACATAAGATTTTTAAAGCATTTGCCTTCAACCATTTGCATTAATTGGCATGTAATCAAACGATATATCAACAATAATGGCCATACTTATTTGATTTATTTAAATATAATGGAAAAATGTTCGATGTAATTAAAGTTTCTGATAGATAATTACTGTATAAACACTGCCACAGGCGGTGGGGTGGATATTACATGTAGTGCAATGAACATTTTACGTTTTAAAACCGATGTTTTAATGCATTAGTAAATAAGCTTAGAAGTATTTAAAAATATACATCCGAGTAACCGAGTACCAGTTTTAGTATTCGATACTCGGACGTTCGATCGAGTACCCGGTTAACCGGGTACTCGTTGACATCCCTAATAATTATAGTATTTAGGGCGAAACAAGCATAAAGTATTTATGTCTGTGATGGTATAATTATTAATACATAATTGACAATGACATAATTATTGGGTGAGGAACCAGATACTAATGGCCATACTATACAAAAAAAAATGTTAGTTTCTGATAGATATCTAGGGGTGGGGTGGATATTCATTAGTTATTCTCCATGTGACTGTCACTTACACTATATATATCGACATGTAGTCTCGTCATACCGGGGGTGGGGGGGGGGTATAGCCTGGATTATTTGGACAGGTATGGCCAACTCTCCAGGAGAAGACACACCTAGCTGAGCTGACAATCTGGAGACATCTGCTGATCAATATCACCTGTATATGTCGACTGACAGTAAATCAATGATCATAGTTTAGATAATTTATAGATACTGTAACATATTTCTCTATTCGCTGATAGATGTGATTGTTTGAAAGAAAAAAAGTAAAAAAAAAATTAATTCGGGAATTGTTGATGATTAGGGAGGGGGGTATAGAGGAGGCAAGAATGATGCTCAATTAAAATTTATACCTAGATTTCAATGCCTCTTTATACGCATGCTTATCAATAATTGAGAAAATAAGTCAAAGTATGCTTTAGCGGACATGAGATCCTTCATATTATTTGTGTGGGTGGGTGGCATTTGTGTATTGGGGGGGGGGGGGGGGTTATGTCTTAAAGTTTTCTGTATATTACTGACAACAATTTCACACTTTATTACTCTCATTTGACCCTAACATCAATACTCTTCAAATATGAAAATTTTAAAAGTGCCATTTTAAAAAAGAAGGCAATTTCAGCTAAATATAAAGTTATACACACAAGTTAACAAAGATTTGAAAATATCTGCATGAAAAGTGATAGTTAGAATGAACACCCAGTCTGGAATGGTTAATATAATTCACTTTCTTAGCTGCAGGCAAGAAATTTCAACCATAATGTGTTACAATATATTCAAGATGAGGTGTAAATCAAATGTAGATTCTCAAATGCCAAAAAAAAAATCAGCAAAAATTTAACACACTCAGGTTCTGGTCAAACACTTGCATTGAAATTCAAGAACATGTACTTTATTATTCATATTAAATCAAACAATTTATTGGAAACAGCCTGTACAATATGCTTTTCCTGAAGAACTGTTACTACACAATACATAATACATGTAGTTTTTTTCAGAGTTATTTAAAACATGCTGCCAATGTACAATGTAAATATTGGACAACAGAAAACATTATAAATCCCAGTCAACCATGACTGATGAAATCCCATTCAACCGTGACTGATGAAATCCCAGTCAACCGTGACTGACTCTTTCAGTATACTTTCCGCTTCACACAGTCTTCCTCCCACTGTTCTACCAACTCCATGTTCAATGAAAGCCCAACAGTATCCCATGATTCACTTTGTGCAGATCAAGACTTTCCTACTTTTTTCTTCTGGAAAATTTTTGAAAGGAAATTTAAAATCCATATATTGAATATCTACTATTACTTACATAAGTAGAAAATAACATTTAAAAAATGCCATTTGTTGTTTTATGTAAATGTAGACTTTAATACCTGTGATTTTTTAATTTTCTTTTTTAATTCTTCCACGTTAACATCTTCTGAAAACAAGAAACCAATATGTCATTTAAAAACAGATAATTTAAACAATTCAAATAAAACTTCTGAAGGGAAACATTGCTTCCTTCTCATTACTTTGGATTACATACAAGTATAAGCAAAAAAAAAAAAAAGTCAGAAATTTGTCTTGTGTGGATTCTGTGTAATTGTATCTTTTCTTCACTTTTTTACCACTTTGAATACCATTATTCCTAACATACCCGTGACCTTCTGTTTTTTCTTAGGAGGAGCTGTGTCTTCTTTCGGAGCCACAAAGGCCTTGGCTCGCTTCTCCTGACTTTTCTGTACAGCTTTCAGCTGCTTCTCCTTAAAGTCATAAAAAACCTCATCATTATTCCAATCCATTACTAACAAAGACTAATCTGATTCAGGTAATATCTAGATAATTTCCCTCTGTATTTTAGTAACAACCTACCTTCTTCTCCTGTTGCACCTTTGCTTTCTTCTGTTGAGGTTTTAAGAAATATTCTCCAGAGGCCAGTTCTTTGTCAACCTACAGAAAGGATCAAGGTAAATGTTAAATCTGCTGGTGTGAAGCATTGTAGTTCATGTACCTATGAATCTTCAAAAAATTAAATTCATTTCTTATATTTACATTATTTTCTGATGAGTTACCACAAATTATGCCATTCAACTGTCATTTTTAAAAAAGCAAAACAGTTTGTACTATAATTTTGACATCAAGTACAGTACATGTACTATGACGTAACAGTGGAGATATTCATGCTCATCCATGGTAGTTCATGACAAAATGAACAAAATTCTAATTTGTAAAGAATGTTAAAGACGAATACATAGAAATGTAAATATCTTAATATTGATTTTTTTACCTTGCTCTCTGGTTGGGGAGGAGGGAATGGTGTATATGGCTTTTTCACCCTCTTCTTTTTCGGCTGCTTTCGTTTACTGATGTTCTTTGACTTGAATTTTGGTAAAAACCTTTCCCAATTTTCATTTCTGAGTTCTGGATCCTTTGCTAGTTCTCTTTTGATCATTAATGTCTAAAAAAAAGATATATCACTTAACATGTCACTGTTCAATGGAAATATATAACATATAAAATGTGGATATGGAAATCTGTTATTATGCAAACATGTATCAAATATTGTAGTAAACATTATCACTACATAGTTATGTATATTTGTACTAACTAGAACTGTCCAAAATAAAGTGGACATTTTTTTCAGAAGTAAGTTTTTCCATAATAAAGATATGTATCACACATGAATTATGAAATTTTTCTTCCAGTGACCTTGAAGTTCCCCAAATGATCTTGGATCAAGGTCATGACACACCCTTGGGTCATGGGCAATCTTTGTGTGAAATGAGAACCTACCAAGTTTATCAATAAGAAAGATATGGACCAGATATGAATTATGAACTTTTTCTTCCAGTGACTTTGAACTTCCCCAAATGACCTTGAATCAAGCTCATGACAAACCCTTGGGTCATGGGCAATCTTTGTGTAGAATGAGAACCTACCAAGTTTATCCATAAGAAAGATATGGACCGGACACAAATTATAAATTTTACTTCCAGTGACCTTAAACTTCCCCAATTGACCTTGGGTCAAGGTCATGACACACCACTGGGTCATGGGCAATCTTTGTGTGAAATGAGAACCTACCAAGTTTATCCATAAGAAAGATATGGACCGGACAAGAATTATGAACTTTTTCTTCCAGTGACCTTGAACTTCCCCAAATGACCTTGAATCAAGGTCATGACAAACCCTTGGGTCATGGGCAATCTTTGTGTAGAATGAGAACCTACCAAGTTTATCCATAAGAAAGATATGGACCGGACACAAATTATGAATTTTACTTCCAGTGACCTTGAACTTTTCCAAATGACCTTGGGTAAAGGTCATGACACACCCTTGGGTCATGGACAATCTATGTGTGAAATGAGAACCCACCAAGTTTATCCATAACAAAGATATGGACCGGACACAAATTATGAATTTTACTTCCAATGACCTTGAACTTCCCAAAATGACCTTGGGTCAAGGTCATGACACACCCTTCAGTCATGGGCAATCTTTGTGTGAAATGAGAACCTACCAAGTTTATTCATAAGAAAGATATGGACCGGACACAAATTATGAAATTTTTCTTTCAGTGACCTTGAACTTCCCCAAATGACCTTGGGTCAAGGTCATGACACACCCTTGGGTCATGGGCAATCTTTGTGTGAAATGAGAACCTACCAAGTTTATTCATAAGAAAGATATGGACCGGACACGAATTATGAAATTTTCCTTCCAGTGACCTTGAACTTCCCCAAATGACCTTGGGTCAAGGTCATGACACACCCTTAGGTCATGGGCAATCTTTGTGTGGAGTAGTAGATTCTAATGTCCCTGTAAGAAAGATATGGATAACGATTGCACAGACAGACGGACAGACAGACAGACAGACAGATGGACAGACGGACAAGGTGATTCCTATATAAAACTTCAATTTTATTGGACATTTCCTAAATAAAGAATTATTTGTTGAAAAACAAAGGGACATTAAAACTGAAATTTACAACACTGAATGGGGGGGGTGTTTGAATTACCTACCTTTATGTTGTAAATGGGGTGAATATTCTTCATGGTGTCCTCGACTATCTTCCTCACCTACAAACAACGATTTAAACTGTAAAACATAAAATGACTTCACAGTTTCATTTGGATGCTCAAGTTCACCATTTTCATTAGAATTACATTTTTGTGAAAAATGGCAAGTTGATATTCTGGTAATTACACTCACATTAATGATTTACAATACAAATAACTATCAAAAGTATGGAAAATATCCTGAAATTTTGTAAAATGTACTACTTTTATATGAAACATTTAGAATTTAAGGTTTATTTGTGATGATAAGACTAATCAGCATGACCTTACCTCGCGGAGTCCCTTGTATGGACCTAGAGCAGACACAGTGTTTCCCTGTACCAGCACATAACAATCAGTTAGAATTTCAATCGCTTTGAGAGTTGATCCATTTGGTCCAATCAGACGCTGTCGTCTCTTGACAAATCTTTCTTTGTTCCTTGTCAGGGAACCAATTTTGATAATATCACATGCAACATCATCTTCTAACACTCTAATAGCCTGAAATCAGTGAAATGACATAAGTATTGGTACATAACTTAAAATTTTTCATTAACCAAAATAATATATCAATACTTTTCTATACTATACTTTTCTATTGCATATTTGGCTTTATTTATAAATGTTTAACTTTACATATCACTCAGTCATTTAATAGAACAAATTCTATATATTATGTGATTTGCTCTATAACAAAGACAGCAGAGGCACCTGTTCGTAGGGAACACTCCTGGCCAGCAGTTTGAGGAGATCCCTGGCTTTAATGATGATATAAGGATCCCAGGTTTTCCTGGTTGTCTGTACTGTCATGCTTCCTTCCACTACATCCAACTCAGCCTTGATATTCTGCGAAAAAAAAACAAACCCCAAAAACTGTCAGAATCTGTGTATCATATTTAATCAATAAGCAGGTAAAACCTAATCCACTGTTGGGATAAATTTTAAAATATATCAATGATCATAATATAATGATTACATGGTCTCCTAATGTTTTCTTGACGAGTGGCCAGCACTCATTGATGTAAGCCTCTCTGTATTTCGGGAAGAGTGTGGCAAATGAGCTCTCACTGACCATGCCGTGGGGGTTCTGGTCCTTCGAGATCCCTGGCTCCTTCCATCCCTCAGGGACTTCAAGTAAATCCTCCTCATTTACTGGCTTCTTACCCTTCTGTTTACCTGAAAGTAAAAATAAAAGTGAATTAAAAATGGTGTAAGCCCCAGATTAAAAAAAAAAAAAGAAATAAACATATATAGATTTTTAATTTATTTTTTAACTTTTAAGAAAGCATGCTTTTGGTTTGTATGTACATCAAGTCCAGCCTAAAGAATATTTCTACACTATAAAACATTTTATTAGTAATAAAAATTACTATTAAGCTTTGGCAAAAAGTCACATAATGCATGTAAAGCAAAGAGTAAGTAAACATATCTAGGCTAACCAGACATCTGTTGCAGAACGCTTACTAACATAAAACTTCCCGGAAAAAAATCACATAAAACATCTCTACTCTAACAGAAATGTTTGGTAATGTGTTCCCTTTATTTTTTAAAGATCTAACTTACCTTTATTAACTGGGAAATCCATACTTAATCAATTATTATTATCTCTGAAATATGAAAATCTTTCCCGCATGCACTTCAAACTGGAAATCTTACTTGAACGCTAAAGACAGGAACCAATACAACCAAATTCCGAAATGCCGATTTCGTCACGAATAGGGCATACCTTTGGAAGATGGGCGTAAGTAAAGCTTTATACATATTATATGCAACCAGGGACGTATTTACTAACTTTTTTCATTGATCCTTAAGCTTGATTGTTTGCATAAACAAACTAAGATGTGGGTCATTTTTTAGCACAGTGATGGTGATGGGTAGGCTACTCTTCACGGGTATACAAATATAGGTCAATTGTTACTGTTTGGAATGCAAAGTCTACAGCTGGTCTAAACTATCGTTATTGAGAATGAGCATGATGAGTGCAGGGAGACTTCTTAAATCTTGGTCATCGTAAGACATAATATGTTATTTTCATACTTGTTTTTTGTGCATTAAAATGAAGAAGATGTGCTCAAGCTTGTCTCAGCTTTATGGGGTATGACAGATTGACAGTGTTGCAGCTAGATCTACCCATCTCCCTTTCACCAGTGTTCACATAAGTTACTAGCTCTTCTCTCTATCTCAACCATCCCATCTAGCTCTCTCATGACCCATTATCTTTAAAATTATATTTATACTGACTCCCCTAATGTATCCCTCAAAGAAAAATGTTGGACACTGGACAGACAGTGAAAAGAGACAGGAATGAGAGAATGGAGAAGATTTCAGAAACTGGATAGTTTAGATATATACAGGAATCTGGACATTTTTACCTCCTCCCTTCCGCATGCACCCAGGAGTATATCGTGGATCGATATCCTTCCGCTTTTTACCCCCAATCTGGTCTCATTGTTTTTTTTCATGTCGAGACCATTTTTTAAAAAAAGTCCCCCTCTCTATTTCTTCCTGGCCATTATATCTCTGTCATTTGTCTATTATATTCCCTGGACTCTGAACTCCCCTTTTCCTCCTTTTCACCAAACTTTTTTCTTTCTTTTCACTCTTTAACACTTATCTTTAAAAACTCTTTACACCTTACCCCTTTTTAGCTCACCTGACTGAAAGCTCACTTAAGCTCTTCTGATCACCCACCACTTCATGCTCATGCAGTCAATATGCTTTTCAGTGATGTCAACATATCTTTGGATCAACCTCTTAAAAGGGCTATATTTGTATATAAATTTCTGTAAAAATTTACCTTCCTCCAAATATTGTACATGTATTAAAATTTATTTTAGAAATCTATGAAATTTTTTCTTGTCTTTAAATATGATATCAAAATCTATTGTATTTCCAGAATAGTGAAACAGCTCTGCTACACAAAGACCAACATAAGCCCGGTCCAAGTCAGGATAGACATTCCAGGGGGACTGCCATATGAAGCTTTTAGTTCTGTGGGTAAGTGTTAATACAGGCACAATCAGTGAAGATCATATGACAAAGGTAATATTGATATACATGTATAATCCTAGAAATATTAAATTAAAAATAAACTTGTCTTGTAAAAAGATTGACTTGACACTGACTGGATAAAATATTGCACTGTAAGCACACTTTTTGGTAAATTAGTAATAAAAATTATATTCTTAAATAGATGTTTCATCTTCGGTAGCCAAGCTAGGGTTTTCAGTTCACTCTGCTCCCCAACAATAGGGAGCAGAGTGAACCAAAAACCCTTGGCTACCAAGATGTAAATACTTGTATACAACTTTCATGCAGCATAACCATGATGGCAAGTTGTAGATAAAAACCTTCTATACATTACAAACTAGAGCTCAAATTTCAGGATAATTATATGCTAGTTTAGAGTAATCTGCCCTTAGTTTGAAAATAGAATAAATTGGAATCTGTAGGCTGCTAGGCTGGCATTCTTTAACAAAGTAAATTAATGGAACATTGTTTGCACGTTTTTTCCCAACTGAAAATAACAACGGTGATATCTGTTCATTTGTACTTTGCAATCCCTGAAACATTTTTCCTTTGTTCAAGGCAGGTGCCCTATGTTGAAATTGAATAAATAAACCCAATATTTACACTCTAATTTAGTAGTTTACAAATATATGTTCCTAATCCGGACGATTTTTCATCAGGGAACTTTTCAATGTTATTTTGTCTTGTTTAACTGGTAATTCAGGTATCCGGAAGCTTCACATATCCGGACAAATTGTTTAGGAACCAAAGCATCCGGACAAATGAGGCTCCACTGTATATGTGCATAAGGGTATCTTTGACAATAAAGATCCAAACTATTGTTTCAGATGGCAGACCTCTGGTCAGAAGCCTATTCCTGCTGTTTGAATCGGCCCGGGCTTACTCCTTTTGGCCCGTCAAAAATCCTAACGAGACATTTCTGGACAGTCATTTGCTACTGAAAGACAATCTCTACTTCATTGCCTCTACCAGTATTGATATTGACAGCAGATTCTATGAAGAATTTTCTCCCAAATATCCTCTTGCAATTACAAAAACACTGGATTATATTGGGAAATCTTCCTCAGCGATAACCAGTGTTTTGGAGTGTCGATCACAGACCTTCCCGTATGCCACTTGTAGAATTCAAACAGTATTTGTCAATGGTAAAACAAGGAGACCGATGCCTTATCCTGATTGGTGGATGGAAAAATACAGCCCTCATGTTCCCAAAGGTCAACCAATCATCATGCCCCATCTAGAAAAGCCTGGTGAAATACAAACATACAATACAAAGGTGTCTTATTCTGATATTGATGCTTACTTACACACAAACTGGCAGAGTTATGTTAGCTTTTGTATGGAGGCTTTTTATGACAGTGTGTTTAAAAACAAATACACATGGCTGGACAAAGCGATGGTAGGAAAGTGCCTGAAGTCTTTTGAGGCAGGATTTAGGAAGGAGTCCTCCATGGGAGATGAGCTTAATGTGCATTCCTGGGAGTCCAGTCATGTGCAAGGAGAAATTCAGTTTGAAATTAAACATAATGAGGATGTGTGTTTACATGCCAAAATGATATATCATTAGAATTTAATGTCTGTTTTAAAAATGATAATTAAAGTAAATTTTAAGATTAAATCTGTATGGTACTTTATACGTGTTGAATCAGATTTACACAGTGACATAAAACAAGCAAATTCAAAGAATTTTGATCCTCCCCTTTCAGTGTATTTGTGAGTGAGGAGTCATTATTTATGGCATATCATGTCAAATATGAACACCCTTCCATATGTCATTCAGAAATTCTCACTGCAGTTGATTTTTTTTGAAAATTAGGTCAATCTTGAAGGTCAAGGTGAAGGAGTCAGAAATCATAGCATGCTAGGAAATATCTTGTCACAGGTAATGCACATGTCAACTATGAAAGCCCTGTCATTTATCACAAGCAATACGCAGGTCTAACATGAAAGCCTTATCTCTACTCATTCAAAAAATATGGCCATTTCAATATATTGGTATGCAAACTCCACTAATCAGGTTCTTCCAAGTGACACCAAGGTCAATGACCTTGTGACCTTGACTGTGACCTTAATGCTATATATAGCTTTTTCCGAACTTTGTTGCCGCCGGGCGCATAGTGTTTCACAAACACATCTTGTTATATTGGATTCTAAAACTTCATAAAATTCGGAAAGAGATACATGGCGAGTTCCAGTAAATGGTCAACCAAGCCTCTTTCTTTACTCTTCACTACAATATTAACAGTACTTCAGAAGAAATTTCAAAAGTACTGTTCAACAATATATTCAAGAAGTGGTGTTAATCAGATATGGATACTAAAAACTTTCAAGGATCTCGTTATTACGAGTTAATTATCTCGTAATTACGAGAAAAGATCTCGTTATTACGAGTTAATGATCTCTCTATTACGAGAAAAGATCTCGTAATAACGAGAAAAGAGCTCGTTATTACGAGTTAATTATCTCGAAATTACGAGTTAATTATCTCGTTATAACGAGAAAAGATCTCGTAATTACGAGAAAAGATCTCGTTATTACGAGTTAATTATCTCGAAATTACGAGTTAATTATCTCGTTATAACGAGAAAAGTTCTCGTAATTACGAGAAAAGATCTCGTTATTACGAGTTAAAGACGAATAGGGCCACATAAAAAAATATTTTCATCTCGTAATTACGAGAAAAGATCTCGTAATAATGAGAAAAGAGCTCGTTATTATGAGTTAATTATCTTGTTATAACGAGAAAAGATCTTTCTCGTTATAACGAGATAATTAACTCGTAATAACGAGATCTTTTCTCGTAATTACGAGATCTTTTCTCGTTATTACGAGATAATTAACTCGTTATAACGAGAAAAGATCTTTCTCGTTATAACGAGATAATTAACTCGTAATAACGAGATCTTTTCTCGTAATTACGAGATAATTAACTCGTAATAACGAGATCTTTTCTCGTTATTACGAGGTCGTTTCTCGTAATAACGAGATAAGTAACTCGTAATAACGAGATCTTTTCTCGTTATTACGAGATCTTTTCTCGTAATTACGAGATCATTAACTCGTAATAACGAGATCTTTTCTCGTAATAACGAGATCATTAACTCGTAATAACGAGATCTTTTCTCGTAATTACGAGATAATTAACTCGTAATAACGAGATCTTTTCTCGTTATTACGAGATCTTTTCTCGTAATAACGAGATAATTAACTCGTAATAACGAGATCTTTTCTCGTTATAACGAGATCTTTTCTCGTAATTACGAGATAAAAATATTTTTTTATGTGGCCCTATTCGTCTTTCGTAATATGCAACCATTCCCAACGATAAATTAAGTCCAGGCTTTTTGATATCATTGACAGCTGTTTATTCAATAAAAACGGAACTCGTTAATTTACTTACCTTGTCACTGGTCATTTGCAAAATTATTTTTTTAGAAAACATTCTGGTTGTACACACTACTCTGTAGTTGATATTAAAAGATGCTCGAGTTTCTTATTGAAAATATCTATGTGGTTTTGGAGAGCAGGTATTCCGACAATATATGTCCTATTTTTGTATTCATATGAAGCAGACTTTGTCCATAATTATACGTGAAAAGAAGAAAACACTTGCTGTGGCCTTCAACTCGACATTGTCAATTAACAATAATTGTTGTTTCTATTTTTATTATGTCGATACGACAATCCCGGGTTGAGCTTGAAATAAAAGACATCAAAGAGTCCGACACATCTGTTGAATGTTTGGATATTTTACTTCAAAAATACGCTTATGGTAATTTAACAACCAAGTAAGTTTTCTGATAAACGTGATGACTTTAACTTTTCAATCGTACAAACTTCCCTTAATTTAAGCAGCAATATGCCTTGATCACCTGCATACAGGGTTCATATCTCTCAGTTTATCCGATAGCGAGAGAATGAACAAATTCTAAAACGAGGTAAATTATTGACAAACAAGTTGATGAAACAAGGGTATCAGCAGTCTCGTTTAAAGTTATCAATACGTAAGTTCTATGGTCGATACAATGACCTTGTCAGCAAATACAATTTATCATTGAGTAAAATACTGACTGACGTTTTTCATACTAGTTGTTAGTCCCTTATTTATTCACTGAATTGACGACGGATTTTCCCTTTTATTTCCCGATCATGACCAGGAGCACAGGTGTGACCGGTCGGCAGGAGATGCTCACTCTTCCACGGCACCTAATCCCACCTCTGATGTTTTGGAGGTCAGTGTTTGCTTTGCTCCTATTTGGTATTGTTTAGGGGACGTTTTTCATTGCTCTCAATTAAATAGATAACATTCGTCAATTTGAGATTTGTAAGTTTTCTTACCTATGTACACTTGTTTTTGAAACTGAACTTAATCTTAACAACCTGACCTTGGGTCAAGTTTAAATTGTGACATACCTTAAAGTCATAAGCAACCTGTCAAGTATCAGCATTCAATCTTTGTTCACTAGTCTTTATGAACTGGACATGAATTATACACTTTCCGACAGTGAAAAATACTAAAAATAATATAACATTTTAAAGTATAAAATAGTATGGAAGAATTAAATTCAGCTTTTCCAAAAGACAAAAATAACGAAGAATGATTAACCCAGAAACAATTAAAATACACAAGGTATGATGATGGCAAAGATATGGATCCCTGGAAACGATCAGGTGCCTAGGAGGAGTGAGCATTCTCTTGCAACGTGGATTCCGCTGTTTTGTTCAGGTAGATAGAGCGATCCGTAGCGATAACGTAACATTATGAAACATTCAGACAAAAAAAAGACCCAACGATAAGTTGTATATGTACGAAAGCCGGATAGGCTCATTTCTGAGAAGATAAAAAAAATTTAAGTCGTTATAACGAGTTAATTATCTCGTTATAACGAGTTAGTATCTCGTTATAACCAGTTAATTATCTCGTTATAACGAGTTAATTATCTCGTTATAACGAGTTAATTCTCTCGTTATAACGAGTTAATTATCTCGTTATAACGATTTAGTATCACGTTATAACGACTTAATTATCTAGTTATAACGAGTTAGTATCACGTTATAACGAGTTAATTTTCTCGTTATAACGAGTTAGCATCTCGTTATAACGAGTTAGTTATATCGTTATAACGAGTTAATTATCTCGTTATAACGAGTTAGTTATCTCGTTACAACGAATTAATTATCTCGTTATAACGAGTTAGCATCTCGTTATAACGAGTTAGTTATATCGTTATAACGAGTTAATTATCTCGTTATAACGAGTTAGTTATCTCGTTACAACGAATTAATTATCTCGTTATAACGAGTTAATTATCTCGTTATAACGAGTTAATTATCTCGTTATAACGAGTTAAACACTGGTCTTAAGTTGATATATCTAAATGATAGGAAGTATAGCATATAAAACCGAGTCGATCAAGTTTGTTTAAAGTGTGTATGATAAAGATTTTGTTGAAAAACAGCAAACTAGTTTTTTTGTTTTTCGAGGGGTTGTGCCTTTGATTGTAGTTCGTTTATGTATAAACGATGCAGTTGATTTGTATTCTTTACTTAAAAGACCGAAGACAAATACATATATATATACGGAAACTTATAACTGCCTCGTGATGTTGTGTTGGCAGTACCCCTCGAATTTTACGCCCATGACCTAACTGCTGATGTCTCCATATCCCCCTTCTGCAAAACATTTTTGTGTATATATATATAATATATGTTGCATTAATGCCTGCGTTAGGCTGCTATTATAAAGTATTAATTTAGGTTCTTAGACATTGATTATGAAAGCTAATAAATCATCCAATACATATAAAAAAAAAATACTGTCTTTTATCGGAGAAAGTTGTCATACCATAAATTGCCAAAGTTTGAAGCAAGTACATTTGGCAATATATTTTTTTTAATATTATGTCCTTGGACACGTTCACGTATAAATGTGTAAATGTGTTCAAATAAAGATTGCTATACTTATCAAACTGTGATTATTGACAGCCAGATAGTTCAGAATTAAAATTATTTAAACCATATCGCAAATTAAATTTGCAATTTTATATCAATTTTAAAGTTACGTACGACTGATAATTATCAACTAAACATCAATGGCATTAAAACTACAGCCATTTTTAATTCCTATATTGCTATTGAATTTGTAAATAAAGGGGAAACTTATCATTTCGTTATAACGAGATAATTATCTCGTTATAACGAGATAACTAACTCGTTATAATGAGTTAATTAACTCGTTATAACGAGATAACTAATTCGTTATAACGAGATAACTAAATCGTTATAACGAGATAAGTAATTCGTTATAACGAGTTATTTATCTCGTTATACCGAGTTAATTAACTCGTTATAACGAGATAATTAACTCGTTATAACGAGATAGTTAACTCGTTACAACGAGAAAACTAACTCGTTATAACGAGATAATAACTCGTTATAACGAGATAAGTAATTCGTAATAATGAGATAAAACTTAGTCGTTATAACGAGATAATTAACTCGTTATAACGAGACAACTAACTCGTTATAACGAGATACTAACTCGTTATAACGAGATAATTAACTCGTTATAACGAGTAAAATATTTTTTTATCTTTTCAGAAATGAGCCTATCCGGCTTTCGTATATATGTATTTGTAAACAGGGCAATTGTAACGACAATATAATGAATAATGTGCTATTTGTTGGCTTTAAAGGAGAGTTTTGAAATCTTTGTAAGATGAAGTTATTTTTCAGGCAGTAGTCTGCTTTGGTTTTTTTTAAAAACAAATGACGCTACAGAGGACATGCTAGACTTGCTCATGTTTTAATTAGTGCTCTCCTTCATACTTTTTGATAATGTCAAATATATATGTTTAACTATGGTAAAGAGCAGAGGACAACAATACAAAAATGAACATAGAATTAAAAAAAAAATTTTAAAAACCAATAAAACATGGAGACTTAAGCAAGTCTAAGGACATGTTTTATCTAATCATTTGGAGGTAATAGTGGAATATAACTACAAGTACATATATATGCAAGGAAAGTTGGCGATGGAGAAACTGGTCAATCAGTTAATCATTGAGAGTTGTCTAGTTTTTAATCTTTTGATGTCGTAAAAAGTCATTTAAAGATAAAACTTAAAATTAATAAAATTTGATTAAAATAAGATAAAATTGAAAGATAAATACATTGCAAGCTACTTCTGTCTTCACTCAACACTTTTTGCTAAAAGCGGAGGATATACTACAGCATAGTTTGTGGACGATGCTTCAAAACATTCATCCTCACAACGTCAACGGACAGAAATCAATTTAATACGGTTACATAAATTGGTTTCCAATTTATAACTTCAGTTCTATGAAAGCTTTTGTAATTGAATTCTACATAAAAAAAAGACATTTGAGTTTTAAAGCCAAAAACTTTAAGGTCAGATTTTTATAATTATATTACATGCTTTATATTTTAGATGACAACTTTACTTTTCTTCTAGATTTTACAATGAAATTTTTATAAAAGATTGACGATGACCTTTCAGCTTATGTTCGGAGAAGGATCACGAAATGATTATGGCTTTTTTTTAAATAAAAAAGGTAAGACATTAAATACAGGTATATGTAAATCAATTAGATTCATGTCAAAAATAGTCATTGTCTTCCGCTATTTTTTTTTTTTCCTTTAGCACACACTAAAAAATTACAACGTCTTTAAAAATTCATTCAAACTCTTGGCATATTTATTAGATAATTGTAACTAATATAAAACTTTACCAAATAATGATTAAGTATGGTTTCTTTATATTGTTTCATTTAGTACCGTGACCTTCAGTTAAATTAGGGTCACTGTCAACATGTTTCAGCTGTTTTAAAGCTTCGTCATATCCGCCGGAAGAATGTTTACTGCTCCTGGCACTGGCGGTTTGAGCAACTTCCGGCGCAACACCGCCCCCTATCGGAGGATGTGTTGCCTTACTATGATTTAATTTTTCACTTGTTCTTTTGTCTGAATGACTACCACCACTTGACCTAGCAGACTGTCGCTGCTTCAGTCTTTGTTCTACGCGGCTTTCCATGCTTGAATTCTGCTCTTGTGTATCAAATTTTGCTTCACTTTTGAGGTTATAATTCCCAACTATTTCACTCTGGCGTTGTTTATATTTTTCGGCATGTGAAATTCGTACATTAGACAACTGCAAAGAAGTAGCTCTTTTTGCTTTCCGTTGACTGTCAGACTCAGCTTCAGTCGCAGATATCTGAGATGATCCTCCAGCTTTGTCATTTTTAGAAGAACTAGCGTTGCCGCTGGATGGTAGTTCAGTCTTTTTTTCCTTTCCAGGACTACCAGGAACACTTATATCAGATGAATTTGCATGTTTCTTTTCGTCTATCAAACTGCCAGGGATACTTGATTTAGAAGATTTAGCTTCTTTATTATTTTTTACTTTACTACCAGCTTTTGCACTTTTTTGACCTTCACTTTGGCCTTGCTTCTCGTCTTTGACCTTGTCCGTTTTGACCCCAGTTCCGTTAATGATCTCCATGAGGTTGAGGTCGTTCTGGCCCTGTAGTTCCTGTAATTTGGCGTTCTGCGTGGCCTCCTCTATCTCGAAGAAGGAGGGGTCATTGACCTGTAACAGCTGCATTGCTATGTCGCTTCTCCTGTTGTCCACGTCCGCGTCCATAAACCCCACCTCCTCCTCCGATCTCCTGGTTCTTTGTTTGTACTTCCTGTGATGTAATTAGAACAAACTATTAGTATTTTTAACTTAAAGCAAACAAAAACAAAGAGAAAAAACAGAAAAAAACCCAAAGCAAAACAACAACAACAACAACAAAAGAAGCAAATAAAACACACACACACTCTCTCAACCTCTCACACACAACTACAAAAACAAAGTAAAAAAACAAACAAAAACAACAACAAACAAAGAAACAAAAGCAAGCAAACAAAACAACAGCAACAACAGTTCAAATTGATATTATATTGACTCTCGTCTGCAGAATATTTGATAGGCGTATTTCTTGTTAAATGTTTGATAAAAATAAATATAAAAAAAATAGTTAAAATAGTTGTAATCACAAATCGCTTCGAAAACAGATTTCCAAACACTTTTTGTTTAATTTTGAAAGATTCTGATGTTAGTTTTAGATAATCACTATAAATACACTAATAATTATTTTCAGCTATCTAAATGCAAATTGATGAAAACAATGTTCTGCACATAATTACAGCTCTTAACAGTTACATATTTCTTTAAACTTTATACCATACGTACAGCTGGACTCATGACAGCTCATTGACTATGATTTTTAAGTTCAGAGTAAACTGAACAAAACGTCAACAAAATATTAACAAATAATAAGCAACTTCATATAAATATAAAGATTTGACTTACCTTTGACTATTTTTCCGATACACAAGTACCACCACAATACATATCACAATCAGAGCGACGATTCCACCCAGGACGGCCGCGGTAGGGAGTTCTGAAAAGAGTCAGGCATCATTTGTGTTGTCTGTTAATTCAATTAAATTATGCCCATTGTTTAAGATACATTGACTAACAGTAACAGGGGGAAATGGAGTGTTTCCACCTGAATTGAGGAAACTAAGCAAAATATCCTACTTCTGCATCCTTTTATCACCTCCATGATTCAAAATTTGCGCTACTTTTAAAACAAGCATCATTTTAAGGTCTAACCACAAACTATCACAATTTTAATTATGGTCTGAATTTTACATAAAAGACAGGGCCAGATTCGGTAGTTACCATACCTTGTCCTTTGGAAAGGAATATTAATTCATACTTTTTTATGAAGCCTCTTTAATGTCTTTTTCTTTTTATACAAGTTTATTGAAAAAACACTAAAATATTCTTTCTTAAAAAGACAATTGAAACAAATGGAAGACCTACGTGATTTTGGAACTGGTCCATGGGCGTCTACGTCTCCTTTGTTGTTGTTGTCACCCGATCCAACTATGACTGGACGTGTGTCTGATCCATTTACTGCTCTGGTTCCTGTGGTCATCCTACCTGAAACCAAAAGAACGTTCATCAAGTGCTACTAAACATTCACATTGTTAATTCAAAATACAATATTTGATATATTGTTTGAATTTTAAGCTTTTTCCCTTTCCTAGTCTTACCTGTTCTGTGGTCAGTCGCTGTTGTCGTTGATGTGCCTTCTGTTGTATTGTCCATTCCTGTTGAGTAGCTGCCTACAACTATGTTCGTAGTAGTAGTAAACATTTTACAGTTTTCCTCAAAGCACAGTTTTAAAACAAGGAAATCATCAAAATAAAATTTATTTAAAAAAAAACCAAACTTTTGTTCCAGTACTAAAGCTGCTTATATGTACATGTATATCCGTTTGAAAATAAACATGATGAAAGCTTATTCAATAAAATAAAAACTCATGAAAATGATAATAAGAAAACACACATCTTTCAGTGACAAGAAATTCACGTGCTGAGACAGTCACGTCGTTTGTATGGTGTATAAGGAGGGTAGTGATAAGAGGCCTAGGTTAGAGGCTGAATTAATAATGGTTTCCTGTCGTCCTCCCGTGACCGCGAGAAGATCTCTCCACTACAACATCCGAACACAAAACTCCGCGCTGTCTGACATCCGTAAGATAAAGTTTACCACAGAGGCTTATGTTTTTCTTATACACATACTTATAGAAAACAGGAACAGCGAATACTTGTTTCGAAAATTTTTTGACTTGATATGCGTGTCTCAGTACAAATTAATGTATGTTTCACTGAAATTTTAAAATAATTTTTACTTTTTAAAAAAAGGAAATTTTAATTTTTTGGAACCAGGATAATGTTTTTTTTAAATGTTCGTATCGAAGTTATTAAGCAAAGAAGAGGACGGATTATAGGTGGTAAATGAGAAGGAATATAAGTGGCTGGGGATGGGGAGTAAAACGATAAAAGTGGGGGGGGGGGAGGTGTTAAAAAAAGAGGGAGAAGAAAGAAAATCCAACCTTAGCCCACAACCCAATTTGAAGGGCAAATGAAAATTTAAACGTTCTTAATAATACATAAATTATATAAAATATTTTACCTCTACATTGACATAATTATCCAGAAAACACTAACTATAAACGTTGACACTATTTTCAACACACTAGAACATTTTACGTACATCCGGTGTTAATGTCTTTGTCCGCTTTTCACAGGAAAGCCGAGTCTCCTCCAAGTACTTAGGATGCACGGACTAAGTCAACGTTTACCTCTCATTGTATTGCGGGACAGTATCGCAATTCATTTTTGTTTTATATTACATGCAATATCAACTGAACATGTATTTTATTTGCATGACATATGTCATGCACATCCCATGTTTTCTTTGAAACTAACACTCCCCGTTCATTGTGATGTAAAAACAGGCTCTTTTAACCTTTGTCTTACTCATGAATGCATACATGTACACCGTACATCATGAATTCGGATTAGTTTATTGTAATTGTGGAGGATGACAGTCTTGATTGCAACGTAAAATAATAGCTAGATGAACGCGAAACAGCCTAAGATTGGTCACTTCCGGTGCTGTCTGACATCTTGTCATGTGATCGGAAGTTGAACAGGATGTTGTTAAGTCAGTTAAGACTTCTAAGTAGCATCGTCTCTTTGAGTAGATTACATTATTACTAATCTTAGATGTATGGTCAGGCGTCAGGAGTGCCAATAATTTCATTGCATCTTGATGATGTGTTATAAATAAAACAATGGTTCAAATTCGTTGAAAAGGTATTTAGTTAAAATATTTCAAAGAAAGAGGTTTAATCGAATACGCCAAAATATGTGCCACGTAAAGAAATTTTACATGAATTTAATTTTGGAAAGGATTAAACGTCTCACTTGACACTGTTTGACGAGTCGTTGATATTTTTTGCCCCCATTTTGTCATGTTGATTAGAGGAAAACATTTTAATCTTATTTATGCCTCAATCAAATGTGCATTTATTTTTGTAAAGGGTTTCTACATTTGCCTCCAGCAACACAGTATTTTCATGATGTTATTTTCCGTCATCCCACGAGAGCATGGTATATTTGTTAATATGTAAGTTTTAAAAAATTGGGTAATGAGGAAAAATATACTACTCATCTGTCAATAATTTTAAATAATAATAAAGGTGGAAATGAGTAACCCTTTTCAAAAATGAAGTGACTTTTCTCAATTTTCTGATTTTCTTAATTACAACTTTTCGAAACACAGAATTTTTTTTTGTAGCTAACAGTTTCATTAGACAATTAACGATTCTTTATTGAAAAGTAACTTTCTCTTATAACGGTGTAACACGACAATCATCGTACAATATACACGTACCCATTGGTTGTGAGTGGGATAGCTCTTTTATCAAACCCGCGACAGGAACTATTCCCCTAGAGCTTGTCCGAGGGAATTAGTTCCTGTCAAGGGTTTGATGAAAGAGCTATCCCACTCACAACCAGTGGATAAGCGTTTTATTATACTGATGTATATTATAATTTCTGAGTCTATTGATTTATCGCTGGAAATCAAAATTGGCGGTAAAAATTGCATGAAAATCTTCCGAGTGGTGGATAGCAAAAACTATACCCCGGGGTATAGCTTTCTGTGCGTGGAAATTTTACCTTTTTAACTTTATATAGGAAACATTTTAACAGAGGTATAATAATATATCAAACTTTTTTTCCTTTCCAACATTATTTTTAAATGAAGAGCGCTAAAATGATAATATAGATAAAGAATGATATCGTATTGATTTCTTTGAATAATGTTGGTTGTCGTGTTATAGTAGTAAATATATTACTGGAATGTTCCTGTTAAGTTAATCGTCACATGCTCATATAATAAAAATATGATTTTAGTGTAGCCTGAACCTGATCCTTTATTTAAAATGCTTGTGATTTTGGAAGAAAAGTGTCAACACAGCATTTCTATTGGAATGGTTTTATTGGGTCTAGTTCACTTGATTTAGATAGAGAAGCCACGATGAACTTGGATCCGAACCTCTGCCTCTGGTGCTGGTGTGAAGCAATCAAGTAGTTCACCTTCAAGCTGGTTGTCTGTTCTTGGAACATATACTATAGGTGTGTTTATGTAATACAACAAGATGCCCTAACACTGTTAATTCTATACAGGAATAAAGTACCAAAAGCATTAATTATTTTGTAAGGTCCTGTTCAAAAGCACAAGAGAGGAATATATGATTATAAGGTTGCTTTGTCTACCTTTAACGTAAATGCATGAGTTGACATAGCTTTTTCTGTTTTTAAACAATCTCGAACGATTGTTTTTCTGATTGAAATATTGGAATATCAAATCATAAGATTTATAGTCTATATAAACAATTAAAATAATCGGGAGCAGAGCATGCAAGGATCTCCAAAAACATCATAAGTGGGATAAGGTACCTTGAGTTAGTAGATATCGCCTGCTAACCGGTCACACCAGCTGTATGCTCCTTGTTATGGTCGGGACTATCTATAAAATTTGTTTATGACAGTCAACTTTGTTTTTTTATTTGTACTCCAGTGGGACATTTTGTTTTGCTTTGAAGTCTTTAGATTTTGCTTGTACCATGCTGATTTGGACGAATGGCGAATGTTTTTATCCTTTCCTTATGAAGTTAGCTACTTATAAGATGTCCAATGAATCTTGGACTCGGAAAAGGCATGGTTAGTCTTGAACATTTTGAAATCAAGTTGTTGAATCTTAAGAAAAGTTACATTCTTGTATCTAATTGTCAGGAGGCCTTGATCCTCCTCCATGGCACCTGATCCCACCTCTGATGATTTGGAGGTCCGTCTTTGCTCTACTTCTATTTTCTATTGTTTCATGGACTTTTGATTTTGAATACTGTTCGTTATCTCCACATGTTTTGTCTACAAATTAGCATGTCCAGCAACTGACCACCTGTAGCAATGCCGTTGTTTGTGCGTACAACAAAATTTATGATAAATATGATGACTTTTTCTGTTTATTCGCCAGCTTCCCTTACTTTTGCAGCAATATACCTTTGTCACCTGCATACGGATTTTAAATATCTCTCAGCTGATTTGAAAAGCGGAGCGGATAACGGGGAAAATATTTCACTTGCGGATACAAGCACCAAATTTTGCATGAAGGTTCCTTGACTATAACTTGAATAAAAAGCATCGTTGGCCATTCAAGTTTCGGCCATTTTCAAAATGGCCGCCACTTATTTCAAAATGGCGTCTATTTTCATAATTTTCCCTTAATATTTTTAATATTCCTTGGTAATATTTTTATTTCTTGTAAAATTAAGAAAGGAAACCGTGTCTATGACATGAATGGACCCCCATTTTATATAAACATACAATGCGCATGCCCGTAAATACAAGTTGTACCTGTTTTAAGGACATGAGACCTAATCTTCTGAGCAGTTACAGCTGCATAAAGCAGTGCAAGGTAATCCGGACCTGAAACATTTACAGTTCCCGGAACAACTTATTTTACACCCACATTTCAGTAATTCCTGGCATGATGCGGCAATTGGTGGCAAGGATGTCCAGTGTGGGACCCAATATCCACTTTCTTTTTCCCAACCCCACCCAGAAGGTGATGGTAAAGTTTGCCACTTACAAAGCGCCTGACCCCATGTATGTCCAGCCTGCAATACAGCTCTGCTAATATGCTCTTCAAAAGCAGCTCTTGAGGGAGAAATGCCATTATATGGACGCTGCTTACGAGCAAAGAGATCAAGGCGCGCTTCATTTACTTTTTAGCTCACCTGAGCCGAAGGCTCAAGTGAGCTTTTCTGATCACTGTCTGTCTGTCTGTAAACTTTTCACATTTTCGACTTCTTCTCAAGAACCGCTGGGCCAATTTCAACCAAACTTGCCATAAAGTATCCTTGGTTGAAGGGGATTCAAGTTTGTTCAAATGAAGGGCCACGCCCTCATTCAAGGGGAGATAATTGGGAATTAATGAAAATTTAGTGGCATATTTTAAAAATCTTCTTCTCAAGAACCACTGTGCCAGGAAAGATGAAACTTATGGGGAAACATCCTCAGGTAGTGTAGATTCAAGTTTGTTCAAATCATGACCCCCGGGGGTAGGGCGGGGCCAAAATGGCCGACCAAAGTTTTACATAGAAATATATAGGAAAATTCTTTAAAAATCTTCTTCTCAAGAATGACAAAGCCATAATTCATCATATTTATATGGAAGCATGTTCAGGTAGTGTAGATTCAAGTTTGTTCAAATC